GGAGAATCCACAATGTTATCGTTTCTCTCTTAAAATATTCATTATTCTATCTGGTTGTGTACCCGAAGTACCCTAATGTAATGTAAGTTCTCATTGTATAGATTTCAACCAGGCAAAGGGAAGGTGTCTGTTGTCTACACCTCTGTTGTCACTGCTTTACTATCTTTCTTCGTATCTGAATTATTTGCCAGATCTTTATTGACCTTGAAAACATCTGTTATATATATTCTCTACGTGAGTGTATAGAGTCGTTATGTCCAATTGAGAACGGCTATTCAACAAAATCTTATGTGGAAGGAACTCATTTTACTAATAAGTGAGAACTTACGTGGGTAGCTGTAACCGGGCCTCAAGACCACGAAGATAATGACATCACCAGTAGAAAAGGTCGCATACATCAGAGAGCTAATGTTTGCCTTACCTGATGCATTTAATTGATGTCATACACAATCAGTAGTTACATTGTTATTCATAGCTTAGTTTGTCAACATAGACAAGGCACTGGGAATGTTTGATGTTTTGCTATTTATTAATCATAGATATAACTCTATGCATAGCCAATATGTATTATTGAGATGATAATCAGATTAACATGAGATGGATAATTGCTTCTATAGGTTTGTTCAGGTCAAATCTGTAGTTTGTAATCAATCGTAAGCAGAATATTTTCTAGATTGTTATCGTCGCCAATAGTTTCCTAAACAACAACAATAATTGAACCTCAAACTCAGCAGAGCCTTTGGAATGGTAACTAAATATCTTATATATAAGACATGCATAAGTCACATGATTCGGGAAGGAGAATAGGTTTACTCTCGTTACATAAATAAATAAATAAACGGGTTCCAACCTGCACTTATGGCGAAGAATGGCTAACCTTGCATGAAATGGTTGTCATTCCATCAATTGATCCGACTCTGTTATATGTTTTTATACTACTATTAACTATTTCTAGCTTAAAGCTGCATATTGCCCTTTGTAAAAATGGCCGAAATACTCGTGTATGACATTATAAAAAAGAACATGAATTGCTTTTACACTAAAACATGCGTCATCTGATGTTCCCGCATAGTCCCAAACTCCGGTGACCTTTGATTAAAATAACACGATTTTAGCACGCTGTAAATAAAGTCGATGAAGTAATTAGCTTTTCTTGTAAAACGCTCGATGACTAGGTACTTGTTGAGAGACTGCACTGATGTTTGTGATATTTTTGGCGAATGCTACGTTGAACGTTCTTAAGAGTGTTTATTTTCGAAGCGATTCTTATCGCAATCGCAACATAATGAATAAAAATATCAATAAGCGCAAAAGTAGGCGACCTATGTACGCTATTTAAACTTAATCTTTCCCTCCAAGTTAACAAATAATACATTTACAAATACCATTTTTCCATGTACCAGTCAAAGTGGCACAAATACTGGTATATTTATCTAACACATTCTGTTGCATCTTGCTTCTCCTCCAATTTGTGAAGGATATGGCCGTGAAGCTAATTTGTAACTGAGTAAGGAGTTAATAGTCATTGCTAAAAAAATGTTACAAAAACGGAAAATGACGAAACTGTCCACAATTAGTCGCGTTACATCATCAAATTACGAAACCATAACGCATATATATCACTTCAAACATCGATTGACATCACCATTGCTGACCAATTGACATTCCATGATGAACATCTGCACGATAATTCAATAAACAATGCGACGATTTTCGACACTTGAGTGTCAGATGCCAAGAGTCAGGTGATATGAGCAGGGGGTCAATTGAACCAATTAAAACTACCATTCTGGATTGCAAGCGAAGAAAATCATTTTAGCAATTATTTTAAAGAAAGTTATATCAAGGTTTAGATTGATTAGTTTTAAAAACAGTACCTGGTTGAGGATGTTGTTACCTGGATCCAATTTACGAGTTCAGGTTTTGAGAGTGATAATGTAATTTATATCAAAAATTTTATATAAATTACAGGATATTTTGCTTTTCAAAAAACCAATAGTTGAAAGAAAAGATACGTGTAGATAAAATAGAAATAATAAAATTTTGAAGATTTCATCTATGTATGACTTTGATTTTATAGATTATTTCTATAAAGATGTGATGTAAAATAATAATTTATTAATGATAAAAACAAATAATTTTATGAGGCAACGTGAATAATTTTTGATATAGCATACACCACCTTGGTGTTAAAATAAATACAGCCTTAATACTTCTAAACGGTAATACTAGTAGGTGATGTCCTGGATTCAGTTGGCAACTCATAATCAAAATACCTAAACTGATTTAGGCTAAAGACATTGAAGAGATTTATGCCCAGAGATAATGAGAAATGTAGCATCGTTAGGGATCTATGTACATGTATACCTCAACAATTGAAAGACCAAGCTGGATTGCCGCGTGCAGTCAATTGGCATGTCATTCATGAAACCATTTTAAAGCATGAATGGGCGGCCTTGGCGGTAACTGAACCTATTTTTACCTATTACAAATGTCAGGATCTCTGACTACATGTAACTGCGTTTCACTATTAAGACGAGGATAGCTTAAGCACGTAACTTCAAATAGACGTACTTATAATAATATTGAATATAACGGATAGTGGAGCATCAAAGGTGCTATCGAAAGATAAATATCATATAAATATTTCTTTCAATAGCTATGTAACTATAAACTAAATTTATAGATATATAATTTTAGATTTTGAATTTATTTTCGATAATTGCCTCAATTTTTTCTAAACATTTGTTATTAAATTACAAGTTATTTATCTATTAATACATTACACGGAAATGTTAAGTAACAAAGAGTATAATCTCATTTATTTGTGTAGTGTCCCTTCTTACAGCACGCATAACCAGTGCAAATAATGTCAAGGTTTTATTACCTATTTACGCATTTATTTTTATTAAATTAACCTAATTTATACCACTGTTACAATTAAACTTTGTATAGTTTTTAACTGTGTTTATATATTTAATAACTGCACTTTAGCACATTTTTGACGTGTTTATATAAATATTGTTTTATCATAGTTTATACGTAATATTATTTAGTTATTATAAATATATTAATAAACGTTATAGGGACCTAGTATATAAAATACCGAGCCAAATTATATTAAATCTTTGACGTATTTATTGAGATTCAAACGTACAGCGTTACGCTATCCTACAAATCATAGAACAGCAAGCAGATAGATATAGCGACTGCGTTTGAATATATTTACTTCATTCAAATATTTGAAATCCTTGAACTTAATATTCCAACTTTGTATATTCAGCATAAATATCTATGTATTCCTATCAACCTAGTAAAATAAATTTAACCAGCCTTGTAACTATTTGCTATTAAAACAGAATCAGTCACTGTTAATGTGCTTACTCTAAGTTTATTACCATTTAAAATTAAAAATTAGTAAGAATTTTATCACGCAAATTGCGATCATATTACCCATACCCTTCCTTATAAACTGTTTTTTTTTAAATAGGATAGTAGAATAGTTTTGTACATTTATACATAATAATAATAAACCGTTGCAGTAACCTTTAGGTATTGTAATAAAATTTAACTGTCACATTATGTAATACTTTGTATGACAAACACAAATCACTCGACAAAATAATACAACCCGCCTGTTTCTCGCTTCATTCATTGCTCCTTTCTCATTATGTATGCGTGAGCGAAGTCCCTCCGTCGCTAAATTCATATTGTAATGGTATGCACTTCCTCATATAAGTTTTGTGGACACTTTCTTTGGAAAGTTCCTTGTCCTTTGATGTTTGGTGTAGAGCCACGTGTCAAGAGTAAGCAAACCTTTTTGAATAAATAGGATAGTGTTATCAGTGTTGCCAACTCTACGTCTTTTTACGTAGATCTACGTATTTTAGGCTTTTTCTGCAAAGTAACTACTTTAGTCCCAGAATCTACGTATTTTCTTTAATTGTTTCAATTTTGTAAAATAACTTAATTCACTAGAATAAAGAAGAATATTTTCCGTTACTTTACTTAAAAACTATAAAAATGTTTATTTCTTATAAAGATGTATCTAAAAACTCTTGTATCTTGTAGAAAAGGTTCCCGTCACTGGTTTTGTTGACTAAATTAATGCTGGACGCAGGATTTGTGAAAGGAGAAACGACAAAACTCTTTGACTTAGGTACATTCGTAACCTTAAAATTTTAATTTTTAAACTTTAAATATTATTCAATGAGTACTTACATCGAATTGATGTTTACAAAAAGAAATGACTTTCAGTCGATAAAGTTACAGGAATTAGTAAGTTTTTAACATGTGTTCATGTATATGTGTATGTATTATTTCTCTTGGCAATTTTAACTGATACTGATAACTAACTCTCTTTTTCATGTGATCTATTAGAAATCATGGTTTTATAATACCACATGGTCATGGTCTACCGCAGCATGGTAAATGCTTCCAATGCAGCGATTTCTCCAAGAACTCTTTGTTCTATCTCCCGTTTTTAAAGAAATTGTATAACAAAATACTCGTGACTTCTTCATTTCACTCAGAAAAAAGTACGTAGATCTACGTACTTTTCATATTCAAAAATTACTAATTCTACGTAATTTTCTCATCGGGCCTACGCCTTTTTCAAAATCCGAGTTGGCAACACTGAGTGTTATCATCATTTATGAAGTTATCTACAAGTTCATTTAAATATCATTCTGTAGTGCTTTCCGTTTCAATCGTTGCAATAATTTTCAGACACAAAATCCGACAACACAATGCCCGATGGGGTATAGGACCCTCATTCTAACCGACAAAAGGAACCCATGTTTACTTACTATACTTTTAGTAAAAGCATATTCTACAGATAGTTTAAAATTTTCAATCAGTTATTTAAGCAGACACATCGTAACGTATATTTGGATAAAAATAAGGTGCATATACTGTATCGTAAAATAGAATGCCACAAGGTTACCTAATGGTACCCATAACCTATAATCCAAATAAAACTTTTGTTTACCTTGTTTCAGGTGGTTTGGAAGGCAAATACCGCGTGGCGGCGCCGGAGCTGATGCAGGACACGTTCATGAGTGACTCGGAGGACGAAGGAGGTAAATTTTAAACAAAACTGATTTCTGCTAAAACCTTTAGGGCGTATTACCAATTGTCCAAGTTTCGAGTTCATGAGACTCGGCATTAACAGCCTTAGCTTAGAAGCACTATTGGATATTATTTACATAGGTTCATTAAAAGTAAAGCTTGTATAAAAATAAAACGAAATACCATAAAATTAACATAAATATTTAAAACAATGTGACAAAACAAAGTTATTTTCGATTAAATTGTAATTCGGGCTCTTGCAATCCAGAGTCTGGTTTATGGAACACTTTCTAATCTGAGACTTAAATGCCCTACATGATCTTTTTGGTGGAAGTTTAAGATTTGGCAATGGCTTTCCTATCTGTCGTGAGCATATTCTTCTTTTATTTCAAAGCTCTGGGATCATCTTGGAAATAGTGTGGTAGTTCGGCTTCTATGTCACCTTTGTGGTTTGATGTTTAACTTTCTTTTCCCAGGAGAAGTAGAGTGTCCTATCCAGCAGCAGCAGCAATACAGATACATGAACAGCGAAGCGGGCACTCTACACAGGGCGAAGCCCCTCGAGGACAGCGTCACAGATGGCCATCTTTGGCCGAGCAACAATGACAAGAAAGTTGCCACCATCGACCGACAACCACTGGACATCGGGCAAGTATTATAGTAAAGATTTCAGTCCAAACCAAGGCATTTTTCGGTTTTAATTCATTGGCATATTTGTTAATAGGAAATATGCATTTTTTTTTATATTTTATTTCGCATTTTACTTTATGCTTTGTATAAAGTGTCTAAAAAATGTTAAAAATAGCCACCATGCACGGACAGTTTAAATGCCCGCTATTTTCAAACGCTTGTATGAGACGTCACGATACATTTAAACCTACTTACAAGATGCTGACATTAGCCGCCCTATTAATAAACGAAGAGTAAGAAGCTAACCCGTGTTTTGTTCATATCACTCAAATGCCATTTGTCATTCAATGAACAGAGACAAAACATAGATTAACTAACCCAACCTTACTCTTCGTTTATTAATAGAGGGTGGGTTCCATATCTTCACTGTGGATAAAAGTCGGAACCTACGCCAATCAAATAGACATTATGTTTCATACATTTTAAGTAAAAAATTAAATCTCACAGTGAAAAGTTGCATTCGGTTTCTAGGTTGAACGAGTTGAAATTGGCATATCCAGTAAAAATCATGTTTGTTATATTTTTACTTCACAACCGCTATTGTCTCAAAATTTTTGAATTTCCCACAAGTTCTTCGCACTTTTATTTTATTAATTTCTTGCTCGAAAATAAATTTTATTAACAAATAGTGATGAAGAGACAGCAACTTAAAAGTAATAGAGTTTACACCAAAATAAAATGAGGCTTTTTTTGAATTACATGCATATTCCTTATCATTTTGTTATTTTCCCTTTTAAAAAATAAGTTTAAGCGCTGGAAACATATTAAACACTATTAATCACGTTAATATGCTTAGTTTCGACTTTTAAAATGTAAAAAAATATGCTTATTTACGCGCCTGAAGTTACCATGTTAATGTCATTTTAGGAAGAAACTGGCTCGTAATACACAGGTTAAACATTCCATATTTGATTGATATTTTGGTATTTTTCAATTTTTTTTTCTTTTATTTCCGCCTTCCAGAAGGAACCACATTCTAAACGACTATATAATAAGCATATCTGTATTATTGATAGGTTCCTGGTTTCGTTCGTTGTGGACGCCCGTGGAGGCGCCATGAAAGCGAAGCGCCGAGGCGGCGTGCGCATCATAGTGCCGCCCGCTGCCTGCGCTGCGCCCACCAGGGTCACTTGCCGGTATGTCGATGTTCTATGTTAGACGTTTAGGTTCGTGGGGGACGCTCGTGGAGGCGCCATGAAAGTGAAGCGGGGAGGAGGGGGCGTGCGCATCATAGTGCTGCCCCACCAGGGTCACGTGCCGGTATGTCGATGTTTTATTATGTTAGGGATTTAGGTTCGTGGTGGACGCTCGTGGAGGCGCCATGAAAGTGAAGCGCGGAGGAGGGGGCGTGCGCATCATAGTACTGCCCCACCAGGGTCACGTGCCGGTATGTCCCATTATATCGGGCACTAGCAGCTCCGACCCTGGTGCGGCACATGAAGGCAAGCGGCTAGGCATCACAGTGCTGCCTCAGCAGTGTCACGTGCCTGTATGTCGCATTATATTCGGCACTAGCAGCCCCGCCCCTGGTGCGGCACATGAAGGCAAGCGGCGAGGCAACATAGTGTCGCTCCACCAGGGTCTCGTTCCGGTATGTCGCATTAAATCCGGCACTGGCAGTCCAGCCCCCTGGGGTGGCAGATGAAGGCAAGCGGCGACGCATCATAGTGCCGCCCTACCAGGGTGACGTGCTGGTATGTCGCATTATATCCAGCACTGGCATTCCAGCCCCCTGGGGTGGCAGATGAAGGCAAGCGGCGAGGCATCACAGTGCCGCCTACGTGTAGAAGGGTTACGTGCCTGTATCTCGCATTATATTCAGGACTGGCTGCCCCGCCCCCTAATGCGGCACATGAAGGCAAGCGGCGAGGCAACATAGTGTCGCCCCACCAGTGTCACGTGTTGGTATGTCGCATTATATACGGCACTGGCAACCCCGCCCCCTGGTGCGGCATATGGAGGCAAGCAGTGAGACAACATAGTGCGGCCCCACCAGGGTCACGTGCCGGTATGTCGCATTATATCCGGCACTGGCATTCCAGCCCCCTGGGGTGGCAGATGAAGGCAAGCGGCGAGGCATCACAGTGCCGCCTCAGAAGGGTCACGTGCCTGTATCTCACTTTATATACGGCACTGGCAACCCCGCCTCCTGGTGTGGCAGATGAAGGCAAGCGGCGAGGCATCATAGTGCCGCCCTACCAGGGTGACGTGCTGGTATGTCGCATTATATCCGGCACTGGCATTCCAGCCCCCTGGGGTGGCAGATGAAGGCAAGCGGCGAGGCATCACAGTGCCGCCTCAGAATGGTCACGTGCCTGTATCTCGCTTTATATCCGGCACTGGCAACCCCGCCCCCTGATGCGGCATGTGAAGGCAAGCAGCGAGGCATCATAGTGCCGCCCCACCAGGGTCACGTGTCTCTATGTCACATCACATTATATCAAATAACTAGAAAACCCGGCAGATGCTGTCCTGCCCGTGAAAATGCGAAAAATAATCCTATTACTCAACTGTTGCGCCACCTATCGGGAAGAGCTTACATTTTCCAATTTCTATATAAGTAAGTCTTTCCCCATAATAAAGTTAAAGGGCAAACAAAACGCATTATATTTCCAAAGTAGTTTTTATTGAGGGTTATAATTCTGTATAGTTTTTAAAAGTTATTTTTGAAAAGTCATATATATGTAGCTGTTTGTCAAAATTCTCTAAAGCTTATTTTGTAATGTGGTTGTTATCCTAGGGGGCAGGGGTTAAATTAAAACACGACCATCTCCGATCATCTAAAAATACAATATAGTGTTAGGTTTATTAAACGTTATTTCAAATACGATTAGCCTGTATAAATATATGGGTCACGGTCGATTCTGTTTGATTGCATTGCGTTCCGTTATACAGAAGCGAGTGTAATGTAAACAATCTAAATATTCTATTCATAGTAAATTGATAAGTCGTCTCGCGCGTACTTACCCATGGCATCGGCCCAAGGACTATTACAGAGTTGCCAGTTATTAATAACTAGCTGTGCCCCGCGGTGTTACCCGCGGTTCATTAGGGATATTTTCCCGCAGTAAAACGTAGCCTATCTGTTAATCCAAGGTGTCAGCTAACTCCATACCAAATTTTATTAAAGTCGCTCCAGCCGTTTAGACGTAAAGAAGTAACAAACATACACACTCACAAACTATCGCCTTTATAATATTAGGTGATAATGCAGTACCCGCATCAACTTCAAATTCTTAAAATTTCCAAGTTATAAACTTTATAGTTAATATACATATACCCAAAGCACAATCACTAACTCTCGATTTTTTAAATTGCAATGTCATGAAATTTGTGTCCGGTAAATCCAATCAATCTAAAAAGTTATAAATTTTAATGTCACATTTGCATAATAGATCCAACTTGTTCATTTTGTGTACAGCAAAAAGGAAATAAGCTCACTTTTAAGACAGCGTTATGTAAGATATGATTGAACGATATTTTAATACCCTTCATAAAAAGTCGTAAAAAATAACCCTTTTTAACTATCCAATGTACTATTGCATGAAGTAATTAAAAATTAATAGGCATGGGAATAGCAAATTATGCTTTATTCAGATTTGAATAAAGTATATGAAGCACGTTGATTGGAAAAGTATTGATCTGGCACAGAAATATAAAACTTATATCAGTAGTCTTTATAAATTTTTAATTACTATTCGACGTTATTATTAGACTGCTCCCTTTATCTTCAATAATGACATGGTTTATTTACAAATGTTGAGTTTAACCAGACCCGTCTTTCCCAGTGGGCACTTTGGGCAAGTGCCCAGGGCCCCGCGATCGATAGGGGGGCCCCCTCAGATCAAATACAAAGTCCCTAGTTCCTGTTGAATCACTAAACGGAAGTCATAGGGGCCCCATTATCCTAATATGCCCAAGGCCTCCAATAGGTCAAAGACGGCACTGAGTGTAACTATTTTTGTATAATCTCTTTTGATATTATGATGTTTTGATTTTGCTATTTCTCATCTCAATTTATACCTTACTAACTGTGCGGTGTTACCTGCGGCTTATCCTCCGCAGAAAAACGTAGCCTATATTGTAATCTAGGGTGTCAGCTAACGCCATACCAAATTTTATTAAAATTGCTCCAGCCCGTGGTGAATAAGTAACAAACATACACACTCACAAACTTTCGCCTTTCGAGCCTCTTGTGATTAATGGACAACCCCAAACCATGATTGTGTGACTTCATGAGTATTTATTTTATTTGCATCTTAATTCTCATTTGGGGGGGGGGGGGGGGGGAGTTTAACCTCACCATGTATCACCGAGGGATGAGCGAATGCCGAAAAATCATCACGTGAGATTAATGGACGGCTCCTTACCCTACTATATAAAGAACGGTATTACCTACCTACTATATAAAGATAGATTCTATGTCCTTTTGCAAAAACTTTATAATTATTACCCATCAAACACAACATTTGCAATGATTTCAATGGGTAAGCCAAGAAAAATAAGCACAACAATTTGCCATTTCTTAGCTATTTTAATAGATTTTAATGTGCACTTGTGACTTGCCCGTATGGGAATTCAGTAATTATAACAACTTTATACAACTTTGGTTGATTTTAAAAAAAAAAGGAATTTTAAAAAGTTTAATATTTCATTGAGAATTTTATTAGGCATAAGAAAAGATACCAAGTCTTAGAATATTTATGATCCTTAATCAGATTGGCAGAGTACCAAAAAACATGATTGCTACACAGAAAAACATCCGTTTCCCCTTTCCCTATATAAATGCAAAGTATGAAACAAAATTGTTGAGGGTAAATTTTCCAACGAAGGGTATTTGCTATTGCTAGTTAAATTGCCGTTTTGTTTTCGATGTAGTGTGCTAATAGTCGCTTATATATCCTCCTGAGACCCCCGGTATCACCAGTGATACCTTTACTTTGAATTTTTTTTTAACGCCGACTTTCGAAATACTCAATTAGATCAAAGTTTAACAGTGAGTGTAGGGTTTTGTTTATTGTTTCCAGTACCGGTCATTCGCTAGGTGTTAAAATTAAAATTATTTGCGGTCAGTGCAAGATTGAAAATTGTGCATGAATCGACATGGCGAAATCACTTAAAGGTAAATATTAGTTTTTATTCAAATCTTTGTGTTTTTTTGTTTAAATATTGTAAAATATATTGTAAATTTACCATTAGTGAAAATATTTTGTAGAAAAGTGTAATTATTTTGTATAAATTTTGAGTTTTACTGCAAGTATCATAGGTGATACCTTGGGCAATCAGTACTATTTTTGGAATATTTTTATAGATCTGCTGTCTGATTGAGAAATAAAGCAGATGATCAATTTCTACGAGTCAGATATAGAAAAAGAAGACAGTGATTAAGAAATAGACCTTGAAGAATGGCGAGAGATATCCAACCAGGAAATTTCACTCGCAAATGAAGAGGAATGGAATGAATGATTCGGAAGACGAACCTCTTTCATTTTTACGCACACTTCCTCAATCCTTTAGGAACCTGAGTTTAAGATGGAAACACACGGAAAACTTTGATTTTATTCCATACGAGGAATTGGACATGTCATTCCAAGAGTTCATATCATTGTCAAGAGTTCTCTAGATTACTTTTCTCGTTACATAGAATAACCGTTTGTTTGAAATTATGGCCAATTGTACAAATGTTTGTAGTGTATCAAGAACGGGCAAAGCTCTGAATACAACGCCTGAGGAACGTAGACAGTTCTTCGGATGTTCAATGTCCATGAGTATGCTTGGTTTGCCATGAATAAGAATGTATTGGGGTTAAGAAATCAAATTCTACTACATAGCTAACACAAATACTCGTAATCGATATTTTCAACTAAGATCGAATTTAAAGCTTGTAAATGATGGATTAGTTTTACAATATACCAGACAAAACGACAAGTATTGGAAAAAACGTCCTATTGTATCTGTAATAGAAAAGGGTTGGCGTGAAAATAAATGAGATACTTGTGTTGCCATTGATGAGCAAAGAATCCCCTTCACAGGTTAATGTAAACAAAAACAGAACTCAGAAGGCATAAAAGTGTTTCTCATGGCATATTCCAATGATATACCACTTGATTTATACTTATATCAGGACAACGGTACAACTATAGAATCGGCACTGTATCCAACACCTGAAAAACTTGATCTTGGAGGACGTATTGCGCTCAAACTTGTGGATACTTTACCTCCAGGTTCTTCAATTTTTATAGATCTTTACTTAACATCTATTTCACTTTTTGCAATCTATTGGAAAGAAATATAAAGGCAACAGGAACATAAATGAAAAACCGAGTGCCTGAATATCAACAGCCCAATACAAAGAAAAAAATAAGCGAGTAATGTTCAAGTCTGATGCTATGTTACAAAAAGCTGGAAGAGGCAATTTCGATTGCGTTGTAAGAGGTTACAGTAAGATAGCTGTAGTAAAGTGATTAGACAATAAACCAATTTTTGTTATATTAACTGATGCAGCTCATTTAGAATCTCTCTGTCGTTTTTCAATGTGAATTCAAATTAAAAATTATAAGAGGAACAATCTTGTTTTAAGCTGATGCAATCCCAAGGTATCAATCGTGATACCATCCCTTACGTTAATTAGGGAGGGGGTGGATTTTTTTTTTCTTGTATTGTAATAACAACCAGCGACACCTTGCTTTAAAAAGTAGCAATTGTAAAATGTGGGTTGAATACTTCAGTCTTGGGTCTCAGGAGGATATAGACTTACTTCAAGCAAAGCGATTAAGAAAACCCGAAATTTTAAATAGTAAGTGTTTAAAAATAAACCTAATTTTTTACAGCATATTGTTGTACTTAATAGACATAATACCATTACATAATTGCGATGCGATGATTCGTTTGCGTCACTTCGTTAGAAGAACTTTAGTTTTTAATAATAACCTACTCGGGAACCTAACATCTTTCCGGAATAAAAAAATATCCTGTCTTATTCCGGGTAATAAACTATGTGTGTGTGTGACTGTGCGTCAAATTTTATCCAATTTCCTTCATCCGCTTTTGCGTGATTTATTACTGAATTACATACCAACTTTCACGTTTATATTATTAGTAGGATGTACATTAACATGAAAATAAGTTATTTTATTATACAGACACGACTAATAAAATTGGTCCATGCTTCAGATAATTCAGGTTAACTCTCTATTTTAATTATGCAATAAAAATAAAAATGAAATAAATGATAAATGTAATTATTAACATAATTTAATTAAGTAATTGCTTTTTGCCAGACATCCGAGGAGTCGAAATCACGGGTAATAAATTGTAACGCACTTTAGAAACAAATTGCTGTTTAGATAAATTAGCATGTTATTAGTATATAATAAAGGGATTTTTGGTGATGATTTAGTTTTTTTTTTCATAGGGCTGCAACAAGGCGAGCCCCTGCAGCCGCCCCACCGCCTTTGATGGAGGGCGAAGCCCTGGCTTCTAGGCTGCTCGAGCTGCAACCACAAGGTGCCAAGTTCTTGGCGTAAGTATAAAAACTATTATAAACTAATATTAGCCATCCAATATTCTCTTATATTTTCTATTCATATTATGTTATAGTACTCAGATCTGAAGCAAAAAGGAAAAACCTTTGTTAACGACAAGGTCTAGCGAAAGAGGTCGTTGTCGCTAGACCATTGTGTAAACTGTATACCTACATCTTATTTTTTTTTTCTTATTTTAGCTAAGATAAAATGGAATGAACTTTTTTCTTAAATCCTATGTTAAGAATTCTTTATATGATTGTACCACCTTCTGATGTACCTTTAAAGGAATCTGCACTTTAATCGCTTTTAATGAAAATTACCTTACTTGTTTCAACTTTACTGAAAATGTAAACAAAATAATGTTCAAAGAAAATTAAACCTTATTATTATTCATCCACACAGTCCTGTTATCATCGAGGTGCCCATATACACGTCATCTTGCCCTGAAAGAGAGATCGTTATCTTACGGTCAGACACTGGCGAGACTTGGCAGGACCACTACCTACACAACAACGACAACCCAATGATTCAGGTGATTATACTTCATAAGTAACGTAGATACTCACGTGCAACGAATCCGGGAAACACATTTTTTTAAAACTCTATTCATGACCATCAGCCTATTAATGTCCCCACTGCTGGGGCACAGGCCTTCTCTATGGATGGAATAGGGAGATTAGGCCATGACCCACCACGAGGGCCCAGTGCAGATTGACGGGTGCTAAAGACTGTAGATGCAGCCGGGACCAACGGCTTAACGCGCTTTCCGAAGCACGGAGGAACTCGAGATAGAAGATTTTTGCTCACCCATCCAATGACCGACCACTGCGAAAGTTGCTTAACTTCGACGATCGCAGCCGAACGCGCTAACCACCGGCGCCATCGAGCTCCTCTCTATTAGTTTTTGAATTCATAGAAGTTTCAGTTGAGTTTTTAGATTGAGTAATATCAACATTAATTTAGAAAAGGGTAGTATTCAAAGAATTGCAAACATTATTTATGGACATTTAAACCAACACTTTTCAGCATACGTTTTTTTGCATCCCTGTCTGGGAATAAAAATAATGCGTCCGTTGCTAACTTCTCTAAGAGTCGTTTCAGCTAAGAGGATGGAAAAGATGGTCCAAGAGTGTAAAATTGTGTGACAAAGCGGGTAGAATTCTAAGTTTCGTGACATTATTTAAAAATATTATTAGAACTACGGGACTTCATTAAAAATTAATGCTTTCAAAGCGGTGTGCTCATCAAGTGTGTCATTAATTAAAATGAAATCACGTGTACTACGTGTACCGCAAGCTTCTATAGGCTATGAAGTGGCAGCTTACCATCGGCCGGCCATATGCTTACTTGCCACCCTTTTAACATAAAAAGATACCACGTTATCTACCGTCCAACAAAGATTTTTATGAACGTGAGTAACAGTTCAGGGAGGGCGCCACTGTCTACGTATATGACATACAAAATAATGACGTTTGCGTAGGCGGCGGCGTTACTTACAATTTTCGCCACCTTCATAAAGGTCCTTGTCGCACCAAACAAATGATTCAAATCAAATCATCTTTATTGCGAATACAGGTTACAAAGTTGTTACACAGATACATTTTAGTAAAGTACATCCATATTCTGCTATTTACTTCTATAAATCATTAATTATTTCAGTGTCGAATTAATAAATTTTACAAAGTTTATTCAAAATGTCATTAAACAATAAATTTAAGATTGTAATCATTTCATGCATGTCATTTTTTCTATACTTAGTCTAAAAACTTTTGTCTTTAGACTATACTGTGATTTGTTCACAGGAAGCAATACAACGCGAGCGCCAAGAGCACGGCAACACGGGCGAGAGCTTAGGCGAGAATGGCGAACGGGTGACTCGCATAGTTACTTGCGACTTCCCCCACTACCTTTGCGTCGTGTCCCGCGTGCGACAGGAGGTGCACATCATCGGGCCAGAGGGCGGCACTGTGTCCAGCGCTCACATCCCGCAGGTTAATAACATAGTGTTATTCAATAACACTTATCTTAACAAATTAGCTACCGTTATAAGAGAATCAGGGATGTCAGGGTAGTCAAAGTGTGGTCGAAGGAACCCCTCGACCTCATCTCACACACACCGCGGAACGTTAAACTTATTCGTGACTTGTGACATGACCTCACATAACGTGACATGACGTCTAAACTTTTTCGTGCGTGCAGCCGGTGTTCATCGATTTTTAAGACGTTATCACGTCAAACCGTTCTATTCTAACCTATCTCTCGTGTAAGAAATGAATGCTTAGACAGTTAATTCAATTATTTCACAGCGTAATCTCTTGTTTCCTCCATATCACGCAGGTTAATAGAATAACACATATCTTTACAAATCTCCTATCATTCCAACTTGTAAGCAGCTCTGTCAAGGAAATATGATTCGGCAACATCACGACGCTCAACATTGAGCTTCTTTTGCAGGATGAAGAGGAGCATTCTTACCTTTTTGCACGTGTTAGGAATGAGTATACTACAGTTTTGATAGTAATTAAGTCTTCTTCTTTTTATTTAGCAATATAGTGGTGCCGATTCTAGCATGATTCTCTAAACCCAAATTTAAATTTGACAGCAGTATATCCTTGTCATTCTCTATATAGAATAAAAAGGAGAGACTGATGCTAAATTTAGTTTTAAGTTTAGAGAATGACGCCAGAATTGGCACCATTGACTGCTACAACTGAGAGCTTAGGGAAGTTAGGTCAACTTTTGCGCAACTGAATTTGCTATTTCCTTTTAGACATCGGTGAACTGTCAATTTGACAGCTCGTGTTACCGCAAGTTAATATTCAACAATCACATTGCTTATCAGTTTCTATTCATTACCTTAGTTTCTCATAACGCAAATATAAGGCCACTTGTTAACTACTGTTTATTCACCATACTTGTCCTACTTATGCCCGCACTTCTCTTAGCTATTCGTGTTTGCTATTTGTAAACTTGGCGTCAGTCGGTCGTTCTCATACCTTATAAAGCATGATATGGACAGATTTATACAAATAGGAAATACAAATGGCCAAGTGGCTGGTATTATACTAAGACAAGCATGTTGCACCGGTTCTGGTGTTCGATGTCCAACGTTATAATATGATATCATTGTAATTAATTTATATTAAATCACAAAAACACAAATATACATCAGCTATGTTGTCGCGAGTTTAGGGAATACTTATATACTATTAACGTTTAAGGAATACTTATTACTTATTCTGCCGTCGCATCGTCAGAATAAGTATTCTATATATTATAAGGATTCACAAAGGCAGTGAAACATCAATAAATAAATAAAATAAGTGCATCTAACCCGTTGAAACTCGACTACTTATTCAAAGAGTGATGTGCGTGAAAATATAAGAAACAAATACATATATATTTTTTCATTTGCTTTACCATCAGGTGCAAGCCCAGTTCCCGCCGCAAGCGTTAACGAAGCGAATCCGCGTCGGCTTACAAGCTCACGGCGCTTCCTCAGAACTGTGTCGTCGCGTTTTACCGAGACACGCGGCTGTTTCTCCCGTCATCACAGTGGAGCCGAGACGAAGGAAATTCCACCGCAGCATCACTCTCACCGCCCCCCTACCTGTGCTGCAGGTGAGATTATCCCATTACAATATTTTGTAAAATTTTTGAAAACATTAATACGTTATTTTTTTTATTTATTAAGCATTTAACTGCTAGATGTTTAAATCTAAAGAAAAGTATACTAGAAAAAAAACCACGCGGACCAGGCAGCAGTCGGGTCTCGAACCCGCACCCTTCGCTATCCGGGCGAATGCACTGACCATTATGCTACCGCGGCCCTGATGGCCGTGTCGAATTTTCTCTAGCCTTAGGCTGCAAGGCAGCGCCATCTCTTCGCATTGTAGGTAACCCACAATATCAACAATGAGAAGAGATGGCGCTGCCTTGCAGCCTAGCAGTTAAATGCTTAAAATAAAAACAAAAATTCTGTTTTGAAATACGCTGCGGAAACGTTTCTCTAGCCCATATGACGTCTTAGAGGCATGTGACTAAAGAATAATTAAAATAACATTAATTCTAAAATACTTAATATTAATTTAAAGGGTGGCCAGCAAGACAAACAGGGTGCTACACTTCGTCTCCTGTGCTCTATAATGGGCGGTCAAGCTCGAGCCGTTTGGGAAGACGTCACCGGATCGACCCCTCTCACTCTCGCTGGGGACTGTGCTTCTTTCACCACCACGGTTTCCGCCAGGTAACATAAGAATTAGCATTTCATTAAAGTTTAATCTATATCTATACATATAAATAAAATTAGAGTGTCTGTTTGTAATATTGAAATAACCGCTTTTTACTACATGTATATGATACGGTACACACACCAAAATAACATTTTTTTTAATTTTTGTCTGTCTGTTTTTACCGGCTAATCTCTGAAATGGCTGAACCGATTTTGACGGGAATTTTATTGGCAGGTAGCTGATGTAATAAGGAGTAACTTATGCTACTTTTATTTTACAAAACAAACTCTAAGAGTTAACGGGGACGAAGTCGCAGGCGGCCGCTAGTATAGTATATAAGTATAACTATTAATTAAGTTTAAAATGAACTTTGATTTGCACTTGCCTGCATGACCTTTATCTTTAGCTCATCATCGTCATCATCAGCCTATTATGTCCCCACTGCTGGGGCACAGGCCTTTCCCATGGATGGATTGGGCGTTGGCCCACCGCACGGGCCCAGTGCGGATTAGTGGGTTCTAACGACTGCAGATGCAGCCGGGACCAACGACTTAACATATCTTCCGAAGCACGGAGGAGCTCGAGATAGTAAATTTTTGGTCACCCATCCAATGACCGACCACTGCGAAAGTTGCTTAATTTCAACGATTGCAGCCGAACGCGCTAACCACTTGCGCAATCGATCTCCTCATCCGCATCTCATCCATAGCTCGATTTCCTCCAAATATTTCTGATGCTGTATATTTATGATAAAATCATATGTTATATCTGAAATTGGCATGAAGAAAATTGTTTTAATAAAAACGGCTGCATTTCTAGAGTTAAGTATTGTAAGATGTCATAATATTGCAATCGTTTTATCTTATTACTAATAATCTTTATATTAAAATTTGTAACTGTTTTCTCTTAAGTTTGACTGTAAATATTTTATTTTTATTTTATTGCAGATTCTGGTTGATGAATTGTCAAAACGTCAGCGACGCTACCAAGTTGGCCACAGAACTATACAGGTGAATATCGTCAAAGATTTCCTTCGAGTCCATAAAGAATTTTCTTCGTTGTAAAATTAAATCTATTTTTCTATTTCTGATAAATTATACATTAACTATATTTTGTGTATTCATTAAAAAAACTTTGTTGAAAATCACTCTGGCACCTATTGACTCGAACTTGCGGTTCACTGCCTTCCAAGGCATAAAAAAAAATAGAAGGGAATAAGTACAGAAAACCGTAAAGTCACATGCTATACTATAAAATGAAATGACGTTTATTTCAATAAGTTCACTTTATCAGAAGCACAAAGAAGTTCTTTAAATGTCATTGGTATTTATTGTTATAGGGATATGCTGTTAGTGCCATTTGAAGTCCGCATCGTAGTGTTGGGCAAACGGCTTGACGCTCTCGAAGGTCGCCTGCTAGTGTTGTACATCACCGACAGATACGCGTATGATACTTTACTGCAACAGGTATGTAGACTAGACTCTATTTTTTTTATTAAATAATATACCAGTCAATCTATCTATTTGATAGTTAAATAGACGATTTATTTATTCAGATATATTCACCATTTGATTCAACTTTTAATAAACCTATATGTTCACTTGTTTTTTTTAAGTCATTTGAATGCATATTATTAGAATAGATTTTAAGTTTTATTTTGCTTTATTGTAGATTTATAATATATTGAGACAATTTCACGCAATGAGGTCTTAAAATTGATACAAAATGACATCACAAGCTCTGCAAAAAAAATATAGTTAAATGATATTAGGGATATTATATTATATTTATGAGATATGTTTCTTGTGTCAGTTTGCTTGTGATGAACTCCTAAACCGCTTGGCCGATTTCGATGAAATTTATGATGATTGAGATTTATAACTAGACCCGGTAGGTGGCTCTGCAGTCAGGTTCTAGGTATTTTATTTATTTGTATCCGTCGTCGTAGCATCCATCGATTACCATAATATATTAAATATGTAGTCTTAACCCTATTTTTGTATGGCAGGAGCACTACACAGAAGTGGCGCATTCCACTTCAGTTCGATTCCTGGACGGACGGGATGTATACTTGGAGTTCTCTGGAAACTTAGTGCCGGTTACTAAGTCCGGCAGCCAACCGATGCTGCCTTTCGAGGTAACTAATAAAAATCTATTTATTTATTTTCATTTAGGAAACATACAGTTTACACAATTCAATTAAGTAACACTTATTACTTTTCAATCAACCAGTTAAGTTTCCACAGACTGAAACATTCATACATAATTTACTTAAAATTACATACAATATATAAAGTATTTAGAGTTATGTGAAAACAATGAAGATCATGATAATTAAAAAAATATGGTCAGAAAATAATTACTGAGTGTTAGGGTAAAACGATCTTAGAACATTAATTTCCAAATTGATTGTAAGAAAAGCAAAATATATCCAATCCCCTGAAGTATTTATTATAGCTGTGACATGCTATAGATATGAAACTATTTGCAGCATACGTGTTGTGAGACCTAGTTCTATTAGGACAACGGAAACCAATCCTCTGCAATAGGAACGGTGAATCTACAGGGTTATTAAAAAGTTTGTAAAGAAATAATTGATCTCTAACAGTTCTGCGATGTTGCTAGGAGTGTGCAAAGAACCTGTAAATTTGTTTCACAGTCATTAGTAATTAAGTTAACATTAAATCTGTTTTCTAAGTACTTTACAAATTTATGTTGTATTCTATGTACATAAAATAGATTAAACTCCTTCGAAACAGTTTTTGCTATTTCTATGAGTGTATATTTGGTATGTCTGATATTATTATACCCCTAGGTGATAAGGTTCGCCCTCCAGATTATTAAATCATAAAAAATATTTATAATCCTAAATCTACTCGCCTTTCTTCCACCAACCCCTATTCTTATAGCGGTACAGAATTGGCTGGTTATCTTAAGAGCCCTTTTACAAAATTGCGCCGCTGCCGTACTGATTGCCGCATAGGTAGATTTGCACTAATATATATTGCATTTTACGGGTGATGTTTCGAGTCTTTTAAAATAATTATTAATGAACTAATTATAAAAATATATACATATTTCAGTAGCTCAATGATGGAAGATTAGTTTTATGAAAGTTTTTGATAGTAATTCTATTTAATTCAATATCAAAATACGAGGTAAACCTTTTTTTTTTGTGGGAAAACTCACGGAGGAATGATGTGTTTTTTGATAATTAATGAGATGAAAAATCAAAATTCTAATACATTATGTTGCAACAAAAACATATTTCTGATGTCGCAGTATTTAATTTGATCTAATTTATTGAACATTATTGAAAGATGGAGGCATTTGAAGTTGTGCATATAATCGTCGTTTTTTCCGTAAACTAGCTGTAGAAAAAACGATAAGTACAATAAATGGAAAATAGTATTTGCAAATATTCTTCATTAACTTACAAAAGGAAGAATAGATCTACTGTTTACTTCTATTGGGGTAAACGAAACGCTCAAAAATTACGTTTTTGCAAAAAATGTGAAAGGGCTCTTAAATTTTTATAAATAAGAATAGATTACTGTAATATTTTTTCAGGTATACCATTGATCCCATATATAGCGAAAAAAAAATAGGAGGAGCTGGCGAACAAACAAAATTACATAAAATTAAATTTTATAGGAGTAGTAAAAACTCAATGACACAACTACACCTTTGGCGTGGTTTTTAATTTATTTATTTAGTAATTTTAACACTGTTTTAGGCGGTTTTGATTGAAAATAAGAGTTAAGATGCAAATTCAGCAAACCCAAAACCTGCAGTAACCTCCGCACTGTAAAAAAAAAGTATTTTGACTAGATGCGTAATTAGACCGTTCTGTTCGCCAGCTCCTTAAATTGTTCCTACTAGCTCCATTACATTCAAAACAAATTCAAATTAGTGGCATGAATAGATAAAAAGTATACATACAACTATACTATATACAAAGTATTCACGTCTGTTAAGCTAGCATGGCAAAGTGAGCAGAATCGTTTAAAATAAAGTGCATCAATTAGTGCTTATTTAGTGCTAATTTAGTGCCAAAACCGGAAATTTAATGCTCTCATAGTTTAGCGAAAAATTAGAACACTGCCAGCTTTTAATTAAGCTAGCAGTGTATTCCCTGAAACGCCTATATTAACGCGGTATAGAACTAAAGCAATGCATAGGGAATTTAGTGCTTAATGAGTGCTGACAGTATCTGATGAAAATTTTGGAAAATAAAATATATTTTATTTTTTATCAATAAAAACTGCTAGTATACAGTCTGAGCAAGTGACCGGTTCGAATACATCACTCTGGATCGAAAATCTATGATAATCAACGGTTAATAATTTAGTGCTCAATGAGTGCTGCCAGTATGTGATAAAAAATTAGGAAATTTTATTTTTTTCAATTTTTATTAATAAAAACTGCTAGTTTGACAGTCTGAGCAAGTGACAGGGTTGAATACATCACTCTGGATCGAAGATCTATGATAATCAACGGTTAATAATTTAGTGCTCAATGAGTGCTGCCAGTATGTGATAAAAAATTAGGAAATTTTATTTTTTTAAATTTTTATTAATAAAAACTGCTAGTTTGACAGTCTGAGCAAGTGACAGGGTTGAATACATCACTCTGGATCGAAGATCTATGATAATCAACGGTTAATAATTTAGTGCTCAATGAGTGCTGCCAGTATGTGATAAAAAATTAGGAAATTTTATATTTTTAAATTTTTTAACAAAAAAAACTGCTAGTATGATAGTCTGAGCAAGTCACCGGGTTGAATACATCGCTCTGGATCGAAGATCTATGATAATCAACGGTTAATAATTTAGTGCTCAATAAGTGCTGCTAGTATGTGTTAAATAAAATATTTGGATTTTTTTATTTTTTATCAATATAAACTGCTAGTATGACAGTCTGAGCAAGTGACTGGGTTGAATACATCACTCTGGATCGAAGATCTATGGTAATCAACGGTTAATAATTAAGTGCTCAATGAGTGCTGCCAATATGTGATAAAAAATAAGGAAATTTTATTTTTTAAAAATTTTTATCAATATAAACTGCTAGTATGACAGTCTGAGCAAGTGACCAGGTTGAATACATCACTCTGGATCAAAGATTTATGATAGTCAACGGTTAATAATTTAGTGCTCAATGAGTGCTGCCAGTAAGTGATAAAAAATTACGAAATTTTAATTTTTAAAATTTTTTATCAATATAAACTGCTAGTATGACAGTCTGAGCAAGTGACTGGGTTGAATACATCACTCTGGATCGAAGATTTATGATAGACAATGGTTAATAATTTAGTGCTCAATGAGTGCTGCCAGTATGATATAAAAAATTAGGATTTTTTTTTAATTTTTATTAATATAAACTGCTAGTATAACAGTCTGAGCAAGTGACTGGGTTGAATACATCGCTCTGGATCGAAGATTTATGATAGTCAACGGTTAATAATTTAGTGCTCATTGAGTGCTGCCAGTATGTGATAAAACATTTGGATTTTTTTATTTTTTTATCAATATAAACTGCTAGTATGACAGTCTGAGCAAGTAACCGGGTCGAATACATCACTCCGGATCGAATATGTATGATAATCAACGGTTAATAATTTAATGCTCAATGAGTGCTGGCAGTATGTGATAAAAAAAATAGAAAAAAACAAAATATTTTATTTTTTAGCAAATGGGAAATGTAAAGATGTTTTTTTCTAGAGAACGTTCCTCACGGTTGGTCAGTTCTTAGGCAGCGCCATCTCTTCGCATCGAAGAGCAACTATTGCTACTAGCTTCGCATTGATTATTAACCGTTGATTATCATAGATCATCGATCCAGAGTGATGTATTCAACCCGGTGACTTGCTCAGACTGCCATACTAGCAGTTTCAATTGCTAAAAAATAAAATATTTTGTTTTTTTCTAATTTTTTTTATCACATGCTGCCAGCACTCATTGAGCATTAAATTATTAACTGTTGATTATCATACATATTCGATCCGGAGTGATGTATTCAACCCGGTGACTTGCTCAGACTGCCATACTAGCAGTTTCATTTGCTAAAAAATAAAATATTTTGTTTTTTTCTATTTTTTTTTATCACATACTGCCAGTACTCATTGAGCATTAAATTATTAACCGTTGATTATCATACATATTCGATCCGGAGTGATGTATTCGACCCGAGTACTTGCTCAGACTGTCATACTAGCAGTTTATATTGATAAAAAAATCAAAAAATCCAAATGTTTTATCACATACTGGCAGCACTCATTGAGCACTAAATTATTAACCGTTGATTATCATACATATTCGATCCGGAGTGACATCACTCCGGATCGATGATTATCATAGATCTTCGATCGAGAGTGATGTATTCAACCCTGTCACTTGCTCAGACTGTCAAATTAGCAGTTTTTATTAATAAAAAATAAAAAAATCCAAATGTTTTATCACATACTGGCAGCAATCATTGAGCACTAAATTATTAACCGTTGATTATCATAAATCTTCGATCCAGAGTGATGTATTCAACCCTGTCACTTGCTCAGACTGTCATACTAGCAGTTTATATTAATAAAAAATTTAAAAAAAAACCTAATTTTTATCACATACTGGCAGCACTCATTGAGCACTAAATTATTAACCGTTGACTATCATAAATCTTCGATCCAGAGTGATGTATTCAACCCGGTCACTTGCTCTGACTGTCCTACTAGCAGTTTATATTAATAAAAAATTAAAAAAAAAATATCCTAATTTTTTATCATATACTGGCAGCACTCATTGAGCACTAAATTATTAACCGTTGATTATCATAGATCTTCGATCGAGAGTGATGTATTCAACCCTGTCACTTGCTCAGACTGTCAAACTAGCAGTTTTTATTAATAAAAAATAAAAATTTCCTAATTTTTTATCACATACTGGCAGCACTCATTGAGCACTAAATTATTAACCGTTGATTATCATAGATCTTCGATCCAGAGTGATGTATTCAACCCAGTCACTTGCTCAGACTGTCATACTAGCAGTTTATATTTATAAAAAAAATTAACAAAAATAAAATTTCCTAATTTTTTATCACATACTGGCAGCACTCATTGAGCACTAAATTATTAACCGTTGATTATCATAGATCTTCGATCCAGAGTGATGTATTCAACCCTGTCACTTGCTCAGACTGTCAAACTAGCAGTTTTTATTAATAAAAATTTTAAAAAAATAAAATTTCATAATTTTTTGTCACATACTGGCAGCACTCATTGAGCACTAAATTATTAACCGTTGATTATCATAGATCTTCGATCCAGAGTGATGTATTCGAACCGGTCACTTGCTCAGACTGTCATACTAGCAGTTTTTATTGATAAAAAATAAAATATATTTTATTTTTCAAAATTTTCATCAGATACTGCCAGCACTCATTAAGCACTAAATTCCCTATGCATTGCTTTAGTTCTATACTGCGTTAATATAGGCGTTTCAGGGAATACACTGCTAGCTTAATTAAAAGCTGGCAGTGTTCTAATTTTTCGCTAAACTATGTGAGCATTAAATTTCCGGTTTTGGCACTAAATTAGCACTAAATAAGCACTAATTGATGCACTTTATTTTAAACGATTCTGCTCACTTTGCCATGCTAGCTTAACAGACGTAAAGTATTCTCGGTAATTATTTACTTTAGACATAGACATTTGTATATTTAGCTAGCTTAATGTTAACTCTAAGTTTTAGGCTCACATAACAAATTGTTTATTGCAGGCGTTCAAAGATAATCGGGTGGAGTTTACGGTGCGAGTGAAACATCACGAAGAGAGTCCTTCTGGACGGATTTACTTCATGAACGAACCTAAGGTAATCATTGAAACGATAGTATATTCCTTTTATGAAATATCAACACTAAATTGACCATAGAGGTATAAAAATAGAGTAGGGGAGATATAGACTCTACTACAAGTGGACTCTCTAATAGAAAGAGAAAGAAGATGAGAGATCGCTAGCTTTCTCTCTCTAATCGCGAATGCGCATTGGCAACCGTAAGCATCTATTTCGATGTGATGCCATTGGATGCCATGCGTCACCATGGCATCACTCATCTTCTTTCTCTTTCTACTAGACGGACACATTTAGAGCCGCCTTCCCCAAGCTTTTGCTGTGTGCAGCGGTATCTATCTATTCCATCCGAATGCTTATTTCCAAGCAGTGGAATAAAATTAAATGGGAAAAAAAACTTTATTCAGGTCGACTTATAAAAAGCTCTTTTGAATCGTAATTTTTTTCCCCCACCATGTGTTCAGGATATGTTTTAGCTATTTAGTGAGGACATTAAAAGCCTGATGATGATGATTTGTGTAACAGATTATTTAGACAGTTTAAACGATTCTTAAGCCATTTTTAGAAATTTTCTTCATATTTATTTTAAAATTATCACCGAAAAGTAGTTTTAAATGAAATGTAATTTAAAAAATATATTATATATGTATCGTATATATTTTTTTATGAAGGTGGCAAAAGGCGAACAATCTCAAACACCTGCGTGCGTTCTAGACGTAGAACTGCCTGATCGCATCGCGCCTCGAGCTGGCAAGAGCCAAATCGACTACCTCAACCTTGACCAATCAGGTAAGATTACACGCAAATTTCACCCTTGATAGCTACTGAAAAAAAAATGAAAATGAAAAACAAAAAGTTTATTGCTAACATAAAGCGTGTTACAATAATAGAGGTTGGATTCCCCTTTTAAGTGTGAGAACACTTGTGCCAGGGAAAGCCATTCTCCCATAGCTTGAAGTAGTTATAAAAAATACAGCCAGTGCAGTTTGAAATAAGTAAATACAAAATTTTACTACAAATAATGTATACATGCAAACTGTTAGTCCTATTCAGTGTGGTAAAGTTAAAACTACTTAGTTATGAAGCTTTCAGTTTCCTCATAACTAACAGTTGTCAGCCAGTCTGTTAGCAGTTGCTTGTTTTCAAAATTTGTCTTTGTGTATATGCTCAGAAATCTTGATAAATAAGAATATCTTGTTTACGCAGTTATAAAGGTGAGATGATCGATTTTTGTACTGGTGATTTGCAAAATGCGTTTTACATTTGCTGGTCTTAGCTACTGCACAAATGTGATTATAGCGTCTTGATCAATCAAGTTAGTTAACACGCAATTTTTTTCCTTAATACCTATTGGATAAAGCTGATGAAAGACTGTACGAGTCAATTCTTTTGAATCGTTAATAAATTTAGTCCCTTCTGCGAGCAGTACGTAGGATAACAGTTCCATATGCTGTTCACACAGAGGTCGCGGATTCGTATTTGTATGAATACGAGCATTTGTACCTATGCCATGGCTGTTTATATGTATCCCTTGGAGATTATATATATATGTATGTATCAGGTAAAACGTTTATCACACACCCTGAATGTAGTTGTTACAAAAATAAAAAAATTATGCATCAATTTCAGTAATTTTTAGGGTTCCGTACCTCAAAAGGAAAAAAACGGAACCCTTATAGGATCACTTTGTTGTCCGTTCGTACGCCTGTCAAGACCATTTTTCTCAGGAACGCGTGGAGGTATCAAACTGAAAGTCTAATACTCAGGTCTAGTGTCTCTGGGAGATGTAAAAAAATCAAACTTCTAATACACAACACAATGATGAATATTCATTTTTATAGACTCTGTAAAAGTGAGATCGTTTTGCATAACTTCTTAAATACCCTGTTCGTGTAAATAAAATAAAATAAATATTTCCAACACTCAAGCCTATTAGGCTATGTCCAAAGTAAGTACTGTAAGCTTGTGTTATGGTATACTAGGGTAACGGATAGAATATATATACTGATACATATATAAATATATTCACAATGAAATACAAAATACATAATACAATACATGAATGTTTTAATTATTTATTTGTTGATGTATATATATATATATATTTGTCAGGATTCGACGCCTTGAAGGATGAGCTGAGCTTCCACTGGGGTGACCACAACCACAGCACCGGGCCCGCCAGCCTCAACGAACACAACGACAAACGGATTAACGGACACGTCAGTAGTGTTTATATATTACTAGCTGTCCCAGCGAACTTCGTACCTGCATATAAAAATAGGGATTGGTGGTAGAACGGTGAAAATAAAGGGTTGTATGTATTTCTGTATCATAAAAAAACAAGATTTATCAAAGAAAAATAAGGGACCACCATTAACATTTAGGGGGATTAAAAATAAATGTTGTCCGATTCTCAGACCTACTGAATATGCATATAAAATATCACGAAAACCGGTCGAGCCGTTTCGGAGTAGTTCAATTACGCACACGAGAATTTTATATATAAGATGAACTTTTTTGACGCGATTAAATATAGTCTAGGTCACTCTGAAATAATTTTACTTTCAAATAGGGATATTTTTTTATATCGGTCCAGTAGTTTTAATCCGCGAATTTGTTCGCCCATTGTTAGTTTTTGGAGAATCACAGAAACCAAATGTTTATCTGGCATAAAAAGTATTCATGTCTAAATCCTCGTTTTTATTTATGTAAAATGATAAATTTAATTAACAAATAAACGAAGGAAAATAATTATCTGACTTAATATCTGAAGAAAAAAGTAATTTACCATGTTCATGATTTATTCCGGCCGGAGGAGCTCGATGGCGCAAGTGGTTAGCGCGTTCGGCTGTGATCGTTGAAGTTAAGCAACTTTCGCAGTGGTCGGTCATTGGATGGGTGACCAAAAATTTACTATCTCGAGCCCCTCCGTGCTTCGGAAGGCACGTTAAGCCGTTGGTCCCGGCTGCATCTGCAGTCGTTAGCACCCACCAATCCGCACTGGGCCCGCGTGGTGGGTCATGGCCCAATCTCCCTATTCCATCCATAGGGAAGGCCTGTGCCCCAGCAGTGGGGACATTAATAGGCTGATGATGATGATGATGATGATGATTTATTCGTTATAGACCTAAGAAATTACTTTCTAATTCTAGTATCATCATTCGTATGAATATAATTTGATTATTAACCACTTTTATTTCTTATTAGGATAAGATAATAAGCAACGGGGATATTAAATACACCGACACCAATGGAAAGATTGACAAAGATACTAAACCACAAGGTGAGTGCCATTTTCAATCGCAATAGGAAAATATATCAAAATATTTGAATTATATTGATTGACACTAAATATTTGTTTTTATTTATAGCGAACGGTGATACGTTGCACGTAGACTCCAATAAAGTAAAGGCTACATTCGACTCCGATGAGGACAAAACTCCAATGAACACTCTAGAAAAAGGCAAAAAGAAAGATGGAGGTTTCTTCGGAGGACTCACGGATAAAGTTATGAACGTGTTCAAACACGAAGATAGCGATGAGAAGGAATCTTCGCCTAAACCTCAACCGAAACCAAGAGACTCTAAAGAAAAGAGCCCTCCAAAACCAGCGCCGAGAATCATTAACGAAGATCTCCTAGATAAAGTAGAGGATATGTTCAAAGATCTGAAAACGAAACCACATCAGAAAGATGATGGCGAAATTGAAGAAAAAATTTACGCCACCAGATTGGTGGTAGACGAAGGAGATAGACCTTTGAGTGAAATCACTGAAGAAGTCTACGACCAATACGCTCATATGCAACCTGTAGAAACACCTCTTCGACAGAAAGTTAATGACCCCTTCCAATATCCGAAATGCTGTGACGGAAAATATAAACACAGAAACGATGAAACTTCCAATGTTGTAGATATTATCGAACATGCGGAATTCGCGGCCCATGAAAAACTCAACGAAGTTGGTGATAGGCTATCGAGTGACCTTAAAGAAGGCTTAGCCAAGATAGAAGATAAAAAAGAATGTATCGCAAAAGAAACAAATGATGCGAAGACTGATTTGGCAGAATTCGGTAAGAAACTAAAGGGAGATTTAATAATAACAGAAAAAGAAATTGAATCTAAGGCACAAAAGAAACTTCAGGACGTCGAAAATAAAACTAGTGACAAATTAGATGATTTATCTAAGGCACTACGCACTGCACATGATGATGTTAGTGCGAAAGCTTTGGAAATCCAATCAAATGTTGTAACTGAGTTTGATGATGTCAAGGCTTCCTCTAAAGATGTCTTAGATTTCGTAGGAAACACAGTCAAAGTTAGCAAAGATGAATTGAAAAGCAAAGCTAATGTTATGGATTTTGCTGCTAGAGAACGAGCCGAACAGCTCTATCTTGGAGGACACAATGTTCAAGCAGCTGTTAAGAATAAGTCCGATGATATAAAACAAAACGCCCAACAAAAAGGAAACGATATAAATAATAAAACGAATGATATTGTTGATTCATTTGCCGCTTCTGTCAATAGTGCTCAAGAACAAATAGAAAATAAAATGAAAGACGTGAAAAGTGATGTAAAAGATGTCGCTGAAAATATTAAAGAGGCTGCTAGTGATAAAGCAAATGAACTTAACGAGTCAATAGAAAACACTAAAAAGAAATCTAAAAAAGAAGCTAAAAAGAAAGCTAAAGAAGGTAAAAACTTCTTTACAGGACTTGTAAGCAACATTTTTGGCGAAAAGGACAAGATTGAGGAAGATGTTAAGAATAAAGTAAACAAAGGCAAAGAAACGGCAAATGAGCTTTTGGATGAAGCTTCTTCTAAAAAGAATGAAATTGAAGAAGATGTCAAGAGTAAGGTAAACAAGGGCAAAGAGGCAGCAAATGAGCTTTTGGATGAAGCTTCTTCTAAAAAGAATGAAATTGAAGAAGGTGTTAAGAGTAAGGTAAATAAAGGCAAAGAGGTGGCAAATGAGGTTTGGGATGAAGCTTCTTCTAAAAAGAATGAGATTGAAGAAGGTGTTAAGAGTAAAGTAAATAAAGGCAAAGAGGCAGCAAATGAGCTTCTGGATGAAGCTTCTTCTAAAAAGAATGAGATTGAAGAAGGTGTTAAGAGTAAGGTAAATAAAGGCAAAGAAGCGGCAAATGAGGTTTGGGATGAAGCTTATTCTAAAACGAAAGAAATTGAGGAAGGAGTTGTCAAAAAGCAAACTGAATTAAAAAAAGGAGCAGAGGACTTAGCACAAAGTATTAAAAACGAGCAAGATAAAGCAGAAAGAGCAATTGAGAAAAAGATTGCTCAGAAGGAAGATGAATTAAAACAAGGAGCTGAAACGTTTGTACAAAATGTTAAAGACGAAAAGAATAACGTTGAACAAGTTTTAAATGAAAAAAGAAATGAAGTCAAGGCAGCAGTTGATAGTAAGAAAGATGAGGCAAAGCAAGTGATTGTAGAGAAAAAGCAGGAAATTGAAAGTTCTCTCAAAGATAAGAAGGAAGAAATATCCACGGCAGTTCAAGACAAAGCAGTTGAAGCGCAAAAAGAACTGCAAAAGAAAAAGGACTTGGTGGTTAACTTTATAGAAACTGAAAAAGAAGCTGTGTTAGATAAGATCAGCGGCTCGAAACAAGCATTTGTCGATAAAAAGAATGAAATGGAAAGTGCAATTGTAAATAAAAAAGATGAAATAAGTGATGCTATCAGTGACAAAACTAATGAAGCTATAAACGCCGCTCGAGAAAAGAAATCGGAAATTGAAAAAACATTAACAAGTACGCAAAATGTTGTTGCTGATGCCATTCAAGATAAAGCCGATAAAGCGAAAAACTCTGTACATGACACCAAGGATTCGGTAGAAAATTTCGTACACAGCAAAACAGATGAATTTGGCAATGCATTACACGACACTAAAGAACAAGTAAAGAATAAAATTGAAGAAACCGGGAAAAACATTAGCAGTACAAAAGATAAAGTAATAAGTTCCTTCCATGAAAAATCAGATGAAGCAAAAAAAGCGGTTCAGGACAAAAAGGATGAAATCGAAAATGCAGTTTTAAGTAAAAAGGACGAACTTCAAAGTGTGATATCAAACAAAAAAAATGAAGTACAAAACGCCACTGCATCAGAATTGGACAGAATACGGCAAGAGGCTGAAATGACGACGGACCAAATTAAACAATCTGCGGAGGATGCTTTAAACGTTGCTTCAGATAAGAAATCAGAAATTCAGTCAAACATTAGCAATAAAGTTGAAGACGTAAAGCAAGCTACGAATGAAACTTTAAGTGCAGCCACAGACAAAAAAGCCGAATTACAAGCAAACATTGCCGATAAATTTGAAAGCGTGAAAGAAGCAACTAAAGATCATGTGGACAACCTTCAGAAAGCTGCGAGCGAAAAGGCGGGTGACCTACAACGATCAGCGCAGCAAACATTCGATCACCTCCAAGATTCGACCTTGAGTTCTTTCGATAAGGTCGAAAGTTCAGCCAAGGATAAAGTGAGCGATGCGAAGGATACATGGGAGGACTTGCAGAGTTCCACGCGGGATACGTACGCGGATTTCAAAGATGACGTCCACAGTTTAGGAAGTTCGGGTCAAGACACCCTTCACAGTTTCCAAAGCTCCGCAGGAAACACTTTCGACAGCTTAGACGATTCAGCTAAAGAGTTTATCGGTGGCGTACAAAATTCAGCCTCAGAAGTTGCGGATCAAAGCAATGATGTGTTCGGGCGTGCTAAGGACTCCTTCGAAGGTTTCCAAGTTTCTGCTAACAATAAACTTGAAGATGTAAAAGGTGCGGCAAAAGATAAGTTGAATGAAGCCGATTCAAGGCTGGGCCAGGCTGCTCAAGATTTCAGTAAGGGAGCGAAAGAGACGGAACAAGTCGTAGCTGATACAATTCTGAATGAAGCTGACAAATTCACGAGCAGTCTCAACGATTTAGGCAACTCCGTCTTCGGATCTTCTGGAAAAGGTAAAATGACAATGACATAATTCATTCAATATTTTCATACGAAACGCAATAAATGAACTAAGGATATGTTTGATTGTAACATTTATATTGTAACAAATATGTTACTGACTCTTTTTTATAGTTCCATTCATATCAAGTTCAATTTAAACATGATCAATTTACACGTCCAAATTTTAATTTTATGAATCTCCTATTGAATTTGCTCTATGATTACGTTTCGGACGAGCGAACACCGTGCGCACTTACTATAATGATCGAAATGAGACAAAGTAATTCATAGAATAAAATAACGTTAACTCAATTTAAAAATTGTCTTACAGGATTCATGAAAGATTCGAGCACGAAATTATTAGAGTCTGAAAAATCACAGTCCTCACCGTCGCCTCACAAAAAGGGCTCCGGGTAAGCACCAAAAATAGTACATTTGTAGTTCCGCTTCACATGGTTGTTCATATTTATTTTCTATATTTCTGATTTCTGCTGTCTATTCACAATAGGGCATTTGACAGTACAGTTAAAGTACCTTATTCGCGGGGTATACGTTCCAGAAATATGCCGCGAATACAGAAACCGTGAATATGGAGTGGTAATTTATATTAAATTATAGGGGTTACGTTTCAAAGCGCAAAAAAAAATTTTTTTATTAATCAATGAATTGAAGTTAATTTTTGTTAGGCTTAGGCAAGCGTTTAAGGAACTGTTAATTTAAACGATAGCACTGATATTTATCACGTCGAAGCTATTTTTTTCTTTATCGATATTATAATTTAGGAGCACAGCGGAAGAGAAGAGTTACTCGATCACAATTTTTGGAATGAATGAAAAGGGGGGTGAATAAATACGCAAAGCGGCTCTTACCAAAGGATATGGCGGAGAGTCTAACTTACATATGTGATGTTATCATAATATATGATATGATACTTATACATTTAAAAATATATTTGAAGCATAGAGTAATACGTTGTTTTACATAAACATTATTCTGTTTTGAACAAACAGCGTCTGTCGAAAAGAAAAGGCGAACCATCTTATGCACCGGCGATAGCATTTGACAACATACCGTAGACGAAGTTCAAATAAGGTCTATTTTATTTATTTTATAATTACTCCATCTGCCGACGCGTTAACGAAGGTTACCAAAAATTTGTTATTCGCGGATCTTATCAAAATAGATAAGATCCGCGAATAACAAATTTTTTGCCGCGAATATGGGAATTTGGTCGCAATTTTTTAATCCGCGAATAGTGAGAACGCGAATATAGGAAGCGTGAATAAGGAGTTTTTACTGTATTAAAAATAAAGTGCTAATTGTTAGCATCTGTATTAAGAATGAATATTAGCAGGGGTTTTTACTATTATTGCAGAAAAAATATTTATAATTTTACTAAAAACCCACAAACAAATAGATTTCATATCTATTGTCACGTGATTCAAAACGCCTGGGATTGGCGGAACCTAAAATGACGTCACACACTAGTAAACTTCCGGTCAAAGTGACATTACATTGTATCGTTTGACGATTTAATGACAGTCGTGTGACGTCACACCCCAGTGAGACGCTATATTGCCCAGAGAAACGTTTTCGCGGCAACTTGAAAATTGAGTTTTTGTTTTAGTTATTTTTACTGAAATACACAAGAGAATGATAAATATCCATTTTATGGACTCCATATTTATTAGTAAGTAAAGTGAGATCGTTTTCCAAAACTTGTCAAATACCCTATTGTGAATAGACAGCAGTACGTATCATGCTTTATAGTGACAGAAAAATACTAAACGAATTAAAAACCCTTTTAAAGACGGTTAAATTTGGACATATATATACGAATAACTATGTGATAGCGCTAGCATTAACTATTCTAAAGTATGCATTTAATAAGTAATTTGCTTCGCGTTTCCTTAAAATAGTAAAAATCAGCCTTATCATAGTTTACCGTTTAATTTAAGATAAGTAAATTGGCATCAATATCTTGCCTTGTCATAATTCTGTTTTGAAAAAGAAAGCATAAATCATAATTCTCAAAGAAATCCAAATAATGCATACTTAGTGATACAATAAACTCATCGTTGTACGGTGTAAATTGTAAATAACTTCACTCAAGTTCTGGCACGAAACTAATTTCACTCGGAATATGTAACATATATTTTTAATTACACAATCTTTGCAAAATATCTGATTTCATCGCAGCACCAATCAGCATGTAAATCAAACTGTGAATCTTATTTATATAATTAAATAAGTGACTTAGAGAGAAAATCGGAAAACTAATAGAAGTACAACATGTATACCTTTAAAGTTACTTCTAAAGAAAATTATTTAATATGTTATCCAAATTAACTGTAAAGAAGTTAATTTCAGTACCCTTATTACGAGTTTTACAATTACGAAAACTATGATAGTTTTCGTGAGCTCGCACTCGTACTAAGGGTACTGAAATTATTGTTTTCGTTTCAATACAAATAAACAGTGTTTAAATCCGATCATTAAATAATTTGCGGCTTCTTAAATTTTAAGTATATTTGGTTACTTTTCACCAATATGGACATAGAAACATAATTTACAATTACTACTTAATTAATTTTTTATTTTTTTCATGAGGTCAAACTCGTACTAAGGGTACTGGATATTTTCTAACTCTTGGTTGTTCAATCTCATTTTGACAGATTTCACAGTTTTGCTCAATAGTATGCCTTACGATTATTATTCTCGAAGTTTCATTTCACGTGTACACTTATGCCTGCCTCTAACTCCACCGCACGCCTTACAGGATACCAAAACTGAAGAGGAAGAAGTAAACGCCGAACGAAATCTCAACGCCGACCGATGTATGATACTAGTTTTTTAGTTTTAATATTTATTATCGTTATTACATAGTACATAGAACACATTTTCGAATATCAAAATATTGAACAAATGTAATTTATTTGTTGTAGAATTTTATTATATTTATGAATCCGTTTTGATGTTTCAATTTTAAACTATGTACTATGGTTACAAGTAATGTGTTAGAATCGATTGTTAAGGTAATTATTTCTTAGAAAAGAGTCTCAGATTAAAACAACCGATTTTATTTAGTAATTATTTCTTGGCATATAGTCTCAAATTTAAACGATCGATTCTAATGAATTGCTCTGTCCTGAATGTAGCAATTGTTCCATTGATGTTCAATCTATGTTAGATGTGAAGAGATTATCTATACGTTCGCTATAATTATATATATATAGTCAGTTTGATATATATAGTGATAAGAGTACCTACTACGTAAGTAAATATACTCTTGTGTCGAAATTTCGATGTTTATTAATCTTGGATGACTAACGATCGCCGATTTCAAAGAAATCGATTGTTTTTAAGTTATTGTAATGCAAGTGTAAAATTAATTTTGACATACAAACCGAACGACGAATATTATTTAATCTTCGTTAATTTGAAGAGATCATTTTTTACTTTCTTTAACGAATATAGAAATCTTGCCTGTGAACTGATATTATGTTAGATAAATAATTTATTTCATGTAAATGACGATATGACAGATAAAATCATTTTACTATTTTTTTTATTAGATATTAAACGCATTTTGTATTTGAATCAATTTATGACTTATTTCGTAATGTCTCGTTGTATAATTTATTTTATTTTAAAGTGTGTTTTCTTTACAAATTTTAATTCATTGCTTTGTACAGATATCTATAATTTTTGCTTATGAGGCAATATGTTATATGCATGTATGTCGTAAGCTTTATGTAAATCAGTAAATTTTACATCGCATAGTAGCACCGACTACTTGGATAGATCTGCTAGTATTTATTTTTTTATTAAGAATGTACATGCACTATTTTCAAATATAAATTAAGTGAAAAGGTACATTTTGAAAATAGTGTATTGTATTAATGTTGATGTCACAAAGCGAGTTTCATGTATTTATTACAATGTTAAATAATCTATCGAAAAAAAGAATAAACATTTCATATAATAAAAAAACTGCTTTTTATAATTTATTTTTTATATTCGAAACCACATTTTACCCAATGGAACAATGAGTTCGTAATTCAGTTGTCATTATTTCAAATTATTTTCTACATTTAGTTTGAAATAATCATCTTCTGGATCTGCGATTCCACAGAAATTGTTTCTTTGATCATCTCAGTTGGTACCCTGATAATAAAAATGATTTTTTTTAATTTCCTACATTTTGTGAGAAAAAATGTAGGTACTAATTTCAGTTCTGTATTTTAGTGCACGACACGCGACAGCCTTTTTGTATCATACAACTATGTCATCTTGATTACAAAATGCTAGTTTAACTAATATTATAATTAATAAGTAATTCAACATGACATAGGCATCATTAAGTCGTTACCATTTTGAATGCCCAAGGGCCTGCGCTGCGTCAAGCGGGAGCACGGCCGCTCCGAGTTCCCGCTTAACGCAGCACACCCTTACTTTTTCTCACCGTCACGCCCGCATCTGAAAGCACGTTTCACTTTTGGTAAGTTTTGTTGCATATTTTAATTTTAGTTGCACTTCATGTTCGATAGCGTATTGTCAGAGATAAGTAATCCTTGACAGCCTTAAATATTTAAAACATACAATACATACGTTAATTAAGTTCATAAGCAGGGCAACACTTAATTTTATGCATTTTTATAATACCTATACTTTTCTTGTAAATAAAACAATATTGTTTAAATCTGATGAGTTCGATCGATGAGTAAGGTTTCCTGACCTCCACGAGGTAGGGGATGCGGCGAAGCCTAAATTATAATCTGCTCCCGCAAGCATCTCTACGTTATGGTTACCGCTTAGCAGGTTAAATACGTATTTTTATAAATAAAAAAAAATTACTAAATATTTTTTAAACATTACAGCTTCTTCTCTTTCGTGAAGCGAAAGTAGTGGCTTGAAGAGAAAATGGCCAACACCTCGGAGCTCGCATCGCTTCTACTTCCCAGCATTGCATAGTGTACCTTAGGACGTAGTTAATTTAAATAACGTTTGTGTTCTATCTGTTCAATTGAAGTAAATTTATAACTCTAAACGTATATGAAAATTAAACGTGAGCCAAGTTACATAGGTAATTGCTACTACAAAATGTGTTTGTAAGTTATGGAATATACAACAGCAACATTAGCTGGTGCTGATAATGTAAACAATCAGGTACCGATTTAAACTTTGAATATAATAGGTAAAGTTGAAAACTTCTCGGAGAAATGGATGTTTTGTTGAGTCCCAAAGCGTGTGTATAATAATCGCAACGCATCAATTTACCACAGAATGTATTTTTACCATAAATATAGGGTCTATGGTTTTTATACACCCATAAAAATAATGCTCTCAAGTAATTAATTTAAAGTTTTTGGATAGCTACAACTATTTTGTCTGTAAAATTTAACAAAAGTTAAGCTTCTGTGTGTGAAGGTTATACTGCAGCAAGTTTCCAATTAACATTGTAGAATATTGTTGCTGCTTCGTGTTATTCAAAAACCTTATGTTAAAGAACATCCAATAAATTAATGCCCCCAACTTTTATACAAAATTGAATCAATTTAATTGTGAATGATTATGATATAATCCCTTGTGTGATGATATTGCGACTTGTGTAACGCAATTGTTTTGTGATCTAAGAAAAACATAAATGTTAAATTTTATTGAGGATATTCTTATAGTTATAAATACTGCATAATATGCTGTTACCCTAGGTGACCTAATGTAAGTTTAAAAAACTTCAAAAAGATTTCTTTTATATTTACCAGCTGTCAGGAGCTTGTAATGGAAAACGTTAATTTCCATATTTTTAGGACTAGAATTATACACCAAAATGTAATCGAGAAACAGTGTTAATATTAACGTTTTTGATAGAGACAAAACAGATCTATAAACTTTAGTTACATTTACTTATGCGAGTTATAGCGGTGTCGTAAGCAACCGCTTTTGTTACTAATAAACTGTAGTAATTAATAAAACATTCATAATCTTGTCACTTCACTATAATATCCTTTAATTCGCACCAAAACTTACATTTACGTAATAACTTTTGTAATTTATGAAGTTTTTTTGTTCTGGAATTAGTGTTTAATTTTAAAGATTACTTGAATGATGAGTGTATTAAAAAGTAATTGGTGTTATCAATGTGTAAGTTCTCAAATTGCATTTTTATATTAAAGGAATAACATGAGTTGATCATAATAATTTATAGTTTTATAAATACGTTAAACTATAATTTGTTACTAAAATATTTATTTTAATTTATCTGTTTTCATGGAGACTTGGATTCAAATGCAAGTTAAACAGCTATGCTATAAGTAGCTACGTTTCAATTCTGAAAGTACTGTGATGCCAAATAATAAATGAAGATTGTAATAAGTTAAAAATATTTTTGTTAATTTATTCATAGTCTATAATTCAATCTGTTTATTGCTTTTAGAGAGTAATAAATAATGATTAATAAAACTGGTTGCTTCATTTTTAACTGTTTATTTACTACCTTTATAGCTAACATAAAAACTGGGTTATACATAACCACGCACGCGAGCCTAGTCATTGGTCGATTGCGGCTTGCAGATCAACAGCAATGATCAATAAGTAAATTTGCGCGCCAGCAAACCACGAAAAAGATAGTACAGAAGGCATTCTGCGCTCGCACAAACAAATGCACACCTAGACTCCGCTCTCGGACACGATAACTCAAACCACTTAGGATCACTCTTGAGACACGTGTCTGTAAACTTTTTTGTGAAAAAATTGCTAGTAACAATAATAAAAATTATATTCTCTTCAGTGGTTGTTTGAATTCAACATTAAATGGTGAATTGTCTTTTTCTAATTGTACCTAATTAATATACCTAAAGAATGATAATAAATATTTTAATTTTTTTCTGTTTTATTTTTAACAATAAATCAAACAACCGGATACGTAGGAGTGACACTACCAGGATTTTTTGTGCACAAACCAATGTTACCCCCCGCCCAGGTATTTAAAAAGTGAAATACATATATGAGATTACATTCTGTACTATCTTTTTTGTGACCAAACTCCTCGAGCTCTAGCCCCTCTGGAAACCATCCTGAAGTGAGAGGTGTAAATAAAACGCACACTTATTAAAATTTGTTTTTATTACTGAATTCATATAACATTTTACACTAAGTTTGATTGATATTCTGTGACTCAAAATGGTTGTTTTATAACAAGCACCTAAAAAGTATCGCGTGATTCAAATTTAATGGCGGTTGTGAAGTCAGCGCGAATTGTTGTCTAGTAAACATAAAAGGGCTCGAAAGTGCGAGACAGCACTATACCGTGAATGGATTCTGTATCTCCATCTCTTTTACGTGTATAGCACTGTCTCACACGCTGGGTTTAGCAGAATGGATAGTGCGTAGAGAACTTAATGTAAGCAAATACTATAGAACCGGAGTACTCGGTAGAGTTTCTATAGTATTTGATGTAAGTGCGCGTAACATTTCACAGTAAATAAACTCCTGCGCGAGTGTCGCTCCCTATTAACTACACAACCGCTTATAAGTTTAAATCGTACTTTATACTATTATGAAATATTTAACATCATATAAAATTGGAATTCAACTTGATCATGATAAATAACTTAAGTTATTTAAAAATACAAATTTCTCTTAGGGTCTTCTCGGATCAGATTTTTTTTACCTTTATTTTAATTATCTTATCTAGAACAATAAAACCAGTAAAATTGACAAACTTAAGTGTGCACCCACTGCACTATAATTATAAGCATTTAAGATTTTTGGATCTGTGGGTATTCCGGTCATAGTCAACATATATAAACTATATCATAATAATAAACAACGTATTCAATAAATACGTTTACATTCACAGCTCCATGTTATATAGCATCTTTATAATTCAATACAAAAAAGAAATGTAATATTACATTCACTACAAAAAAAAAACAGAATAATTATCCTGATATGATTGTTCCATTACAATTAAATTATTATAATATAATATTTCATAATTTCCTAATAATACGACGATTGTACAATGAACAGTTATATAACACCTGTTTCAAAAATTGCAATCGATTTCATCAGCTTGACCTTTTATACACTTAGAATAAAACAAAAAGGGAAGATACGGCACTTGCTGCTCAAAAGTGATCCGCTTAAATTGTGGTGCATGACCACAATACGCTCCAGTCACTAATGGACATTCAAACACCTCAATATAACAATATTGCGTATATTCTGTGTTATAAAGATAAAACAATGCCTTCGATGCTTTTATTAAGAACACAAATTGTTCAAAATCAAATAATAAATGCCTCGACAACACTTCATTCGTAAAACTGCAAAACCTTTTTTTTTTTCAGAAAAATCACGGCTTGTCGTGAATTTTATGTACGCAATCGCATTTTGTTGTCAAGAAAAGGACAACAATACAGCTCAGCCGTGCGGACTCGTAAGCGGACTCGCCGTTTCGCTCGCGCTGCGTTAAAGCGTACAGTCTTATCTCGTACGCTCGATTGAATGTTTCTTTACAGACGTGTGCCTGTATAAAAGTTGCTTATGTGGTTGAGTCGGATCATATTTTTTTGATGCTAGTATGAGCGTACCGTATCCTCCCTTTTTGTATTAATCTAAGGTTATACATATCGTCAAAAATTGATTTACTACACTTGCACTTGTAACTAAGTCACAAAGTTATGGCTGTTATAACGCATAATGCTGCTGCAAATGCACCAATGTTTAATACTTACAAACTACCTTTTAGGCACCAGTTATTTATCTAGGAATATATTAATATTGGATATGCACAGCACCAAACAATTGGAATGAATTACGCTTAAATATAATAAGGCACTTATACAGTGTACATTCGCTATCACAATCTGTATTATATACTGTAATTACTAAATTGTAATCGCTTAACCAAAAAAACTTTGAGTTTCACCATTTCAGTGACTGGGTTATATAATAAGTATAGTGCGTAAAATAGAAGAAATAAAAAATATATCTATGCCAACATAGATAAGGTCGATTCGAAATTGAGAAATATCACATCACTTTACTTGTTACTTGTACAATAAATAGGCGCTATAAACTTAAAAATCCTTGACTATCCTAAATTAGTGTCGTATACAGTAAAGATAAAAATACACATAGTATCATGACCTTAGGAGTAGTCATAAAAATCAGCTGTCTTGTGTGAGGTTTTTAACAATATAGCATACTGAAATAATAAAACATTTGATTTTTTTTTAATATGATTTGTCTTGAAAACACAGTATATATCAGGGGTATACACTCAAAGTTGGTGAAGACCACAAAATTTTAAAAGTGAGATTTAAATTACAACAAATTCATTTCCGTATCTATATTTATCCCGTAGAATAATTTTATACAAATTCTAGAAATCTCAAATTGAAAATACAATCAAAGTTGGTGAAGTCCACAAAATTTTAAAAGTGAGATTTAAATTGCAACAAATTCATTTCCGTATCTATATTTATCCCGTAGAATAATTTTATATAAATTCTAGAAATCTCAAATTGAAAATTGACTTTACAAACAAACGTAGCAAAGTCCAAGTGAGTTGAGTTTCAATTTGCGTAAAGTCCTTTTCGACCAATAGGAAGGCTCCATTGCCTCCATTTCACTGACAGCTGTCATGGCCGCCTTTGATGTTGTAATGCTCTTTTGTTGTGTACATACCCAGACATTAGCAGAATCGTCACGTAATGAGACGCAGCCATAATCACCAAAAATTTAATTGAATTATTGTGTACATTTACAAACTTAGTAAAGTCCAATACTTGGTAACAAGTATTCCTCTTAAGGTTTTACTCAAAATTATCGTGATGAACACTTGTATTTCCATTATGTATTACATTCTGCATATAAATATATTTTAACATTAGAATAGTTACCTGTAATTATTAAAATTATCGCTTTTATCATTTACTGAACATTTTGGCAATGTGGACTAAAGTTTGATTGTATACCCCTCATATGTAAATACATAATCAGTGAGCCTAGTTCTTGCACGATACTCGAAACTTTTATTATATCGATGCCTAGTATTATTGATAGTGTTACCTAGCTAGACCGATATTACATCTTCATCAATTTTATCGATGTCATTTTCAATATTCAAGGTCATGATAGTACACATATTGCATTATATTAGTACGAAAACAATGAAATTACATTATATATTTTTTAGTATAACAAAAAATATATTATTCACAATGATATATTTTTCAAATTCATTTGTTAATTTGTGCTAATAAATAAATACAAAAACTTATTAATTACCTACATATATTGTGCATACTACATTAAAATGTAGTGAAACATTAAAATATAAAAAAAATACCTAGGAAAAATTATCTAATATTGTTCTAGGAACGCTAAAGTAATACATAGATTTCATAATATTAGTATTGCTTCAAATTCGAAATCAAGATTCAATTTTATTAAAAGATTTGAACTATAGCACGCTAATAACTACACTGGACAGCAAAAAAACTGGGCCACTTGCTAACTCTGATTTGATTTTGTCTAGAAAGTATAAAACTTACAACTATAACAAAGTTACATTTACCAAGAGAATGTGCGTTTTATGGTGATTAAAATGAATAGGAATTTATTATTTATTAAGATTTTTCGAACGAAGAGTCGTTTTCCAATTGTGTAAATCAGTAGTAGTACATGCGTCTGAGAAAACTATGATGTAAAACAAAAGAAATTTCAAAAAATGAACGATAATCGCAAATTAGCAAAACGTAGCATTGTGTTTCTTGCTTCTTTACAAAGACGAGTTGACAACACTTACTTTAGAATAAATCTTTCAATACTCATTTCAATCATTATAAAACGCATTTTCTGTAGATATTGCTATGATACGAGGGGAAGTCCAAAAGTTCGCGGAATGGAGTGTGGAGGAAGTTTTTTTAAAAAACGCATGTTTACCCTAATAAAGATGCGTTTTTTATTTAAGCTAAAGTCCTAAAACAAAAACCAACTGATTACGCGCTACTTAATTTCCACTTAAAAAAAGCTTGAACAAGTCAAAATGACAAACATATACCTAGCTTTGAATATGAGAAGCTGACATAAATAATTATTTATGTAGCGCGTAATCGATAATAATCGATGCTAATTTACAGTTGTAATCATAGATAAAATGTTAACATTATTAGAATAACTTTCATTTTTAATTATCAAACAAGGATCGAAGAAAAAAAAACTTATGAAAATATATATTAATGTGAAAATGAGTCAGTAGACGACGACGAGATGATAGTTCACATTTTAATAGCGTATTGCTATTAAAAGCATGTTATTTAGAGCAACTTAAAATTTACAATAATCTTTTTGAATTTTATATTGGCTGTTTGGAATAAATATAATTTGCCACTCAAACACGCCATAATTATAAATCATAATTGTGTGCAGAATGTACACAAAATCAAATAAATAATTAAAATTATTTTAAAATTCAGTAAGCTTAATGATAGCTTAGAAACATTTTTTTATTCATAAGAAATAAACGGATTAACTTAAAGAAATTAGATCTGCATATTTTTGTTGTATAATTAATTTAAATTAATTACATTACATTCATAATACAATATCGATATGGTATATAATACGGTATTTGGGTGGGAATGCTATTGAAATACTGTTTATTTCAATTTAAAAAGTAGTCAATACATAACAGGAAACTTCATAAAACCAATCATAATGCTTACGTACACAAATATAATAAAAATAAACGCATTCACATACTAGATATAAAATTAGCGGAAAAAACATTCTTTAAAGTTTGCTAAGTGATAAAAAAAAGCTTAATCAAATGCAAATTTGAAAAGAATCAGAAAATGTAAGATTGACATTTTATGACAATTTAATCTAGAGCATTACAAGATACTATTAAAAATAACAATCAAATGTGTATTTTTCTCACAGTCAAATTATAAAAGCGGGCATATCTACGGTCACATAAATTTTGTCTAAGCCCGCTTGCAGAAAATTTAATAAATCTCGATTCAACTAAAACAATATTTAACCCATAGTAAATGTCAAAACAGAAAAAATATTGATGATGTAATTCGAAATTATTGTATGGGATTATAGATTAATTTTTAAAGGTTTTAGTTAAATTGGAAATTTGCAACAAGTCGCCAAACAAAATTTTATGAGCAAATAAATACAAACCTGTTTGCGATAAAAGTCATCCAAATCGCCAAAGAATATCCGAGCTCAATTCTATTAGAGAGTCAATATATACGAAAAAAATGCAATTAAACTTTTAAAATCATAAGTAAACTCATTCAGTTCGTCACTTATCGAAATAAAAACCTTGATAAGCAATATTAAGATTCAAATTCAACAAAATTCAACCTTTTCCTGAACTTGAATCAGAAACGGTCACAGTCTCCTTGTCATAAGAGACGCTACTGTTGTACTCTAAATAGTCCATGTCTGTCAATTGACGCTTAATAAGCAAATGGGGTGTCTTCCTCACGCGTTTCTCTTTCAAACACTTCGGAATCATCTGTTTTCCCTCCATCATGTACTCTATGATTACCCTTTCGAAGAACAAAGCAAATAGGAACTGAACCGCCACTATTAAAAGAACTACATAACCCAGAAGTGTGTCTTTGGGCATTTTCAGTTGAAGGAATTCCGCTAACCATTGCGCCGGCGCAATCGTTATGTAAATGCTTAAAGCAGTCATTACCACGAAAATGATCATAAGATGGGCGTTAGTGATCACAGATTTCCTATACGGCGAGCCGTGACTGAAAACTATGGCCTGTATTATGTATTGGAACATTGAAACCGCAAATATTACGTAATTCTCCCAGCACTCGTTTGCCTCTTCACCTTCGTAATAATGGCGTTCATACCACGGGAACTGGGAAAGGGCAAAATAGCCTAAATACTGTGCTATTCCGACTAAAGCCATCTGACAAACGAGAGAGAAGAGAGGAACTAGACCTAAAAGCGACGTGAGGGGGGGTATTTTACACAACTTACCTGTATACGCTTCAGTCATACCGAAGAAGAAGGCGAAGTTGACCACCAGGGCGACATCTATGTAGAGGAACTGGAAGTCTGTTAGATTCGAATCGAAGTAGTATAGGAAGGCGACAGAGAAGAATTCCGTTAGGGAGTAGGAGATCATGAATTTGAAGACTCCGAAGCTGGTGGTTAGGGCTGCTCGGCCTTCGCGCAGGACTCGGGAGACGCAGACGATGTCGGGGTGCGAGCTAGTGAAGGGGGCGGCGACGCTGCTCTCTAGTTCGGAGAGGGAGATCCCCACGTGCGCGGACCGTAGGGCTCCGCAATCGTTGGCGCCGTCGCCGCACATGCCTGGAAACCATGGTCTTGATGAGGAAAATGAAAATAGATTCAACTATTATATGTATAAATATAAATAAATATTTTCAACACTCACACCCATTAGCTTAGCCCCAAAGTAAGCCCTGTAAGGCTTGTGTTATGGGATACTAGGGCAACGGATAGAATACATATAGTGTACATATCTTTATATATATAATTCTTCTGTGAGTGTGTATGTCACTGAACTTCTCTTAAACGACTGGACCGATTTTGATGAAATTTTTTGTGTGTGTTCAAGGGGATCTGAGAATGGTTTAGATTCACAATTTTGTCCGCTGGACAATGATTTTTTAATTTTTTTTTTTTATGGCGGTACAAAGTTCGCTGGGTCAGCTAGTATAAGTATATTTATATAGAAATACATATTAAACATCCACGACTCGAGTACAAATGCTCGTATTCATCACACAAACATCTAATAAATACATATATATGGGTCATTAACTAGCGGACTCGATAAGACGTTGTCCTGCCTGATAACAATACAGAAAAATCTGGACTACCCTCTAGATAAGAAATGAACTGAAAATAAGAAACAAGAAGAAAAATCTCATTGATCAAACAATGTTCCGCAAATCTAATTCTAATTTAATTTATATTTCGGAATTAGTTCTAAAGTATTTTTTTAAATTTTTAGTTTTGGGGTTCGAAACCAGGGTGCTTACTCTTGAAACCAATCCCGATCGATCGACATTGGCATTGTGACGTTTCGTACTCTTGAGTTGCAACACTAGCGCCAAATTGGACTCATATTGCGCGGAGATTGGTTAAACTAAATGGCATTGAGTTTTACTTGAATCCGTACTCTTGACGCTATTTTGACAGCTGTAATTGCGATTGTATTGTGGTATAATTGGATAGCATTTGAGATTTTTACAATAACAAAAAAGGTACTGTGTGTGTATTGAGTTCGATTATTTTAAGTTAAAACAAGCATTTTGTGTGAGATATGGCGCGATTAGCTCTTCCCTTCGTTATTTTACGTAATGCCCGAAGAAATGAACTCAAAATAAGAAGAAATGAGCGTCGTTTGGCGCGTTATATGGATAGGGCATTCTCCATGGGCGAAGAAGAATTTGTGGCAAATTACCGCGTCACAAAAGACTTATTTAATTAGATATAAGAAGAGCTGAGACCCTTCTTACCTGTTTCAAAGAGGAGAAGTGACATATCACCAAAATATAAAGTAAGTGCCTGATAGAAATTGTGTGATATAAACAATTAATGTTATTATTTGATTATGAACTAAGTTAACATAATAATATCAATGTTTTGTTGATATAATCTTATAATATGTCATTTAGATGATTGTTTAGAACAATGCATGTATGCATAAATTTTAAACTACATTCTCATTTTGCAGTTATTGGTAGCATTATCATTCTTTGCAACTGGTAGTTATCAATGGATAGTGAGTACACAATAATCTTATCCAATTTACTAAAAGACTTTTTTCTTTTCAGATTTTATGAAAAATTTGGAATCCTAAATTTGTCATAGGTGGCACACATGTTGCCATAGTAAGGCCCACTGAGAATGAAGAGAGGTTTCTCAATAGAAAACATTTTCATTCAAGGAATGTTATGATTGTAAGTCCTTAAACAAGGAGGGTTCATTAAATACTATATTATATATATTTTTTTTGTTTATTTAAAAATGCCATTGCTTTTGTTATAGATCTGCGATGCTGATTTGAATATTCTGTCTGTTGATGCCTCTTTTGGTGGTGCGACACATGACAGTTTTGTTTGGCATCAGCACAGCATAAGGAGTCATTTGATTGCTTTAAATGATGTCTGATTCTGGATATACTCAGATGGTGTATATGATGACTTGATTGTGGGTGCTGCTGAAGGGTCTCCAAAAGAGTACTATACTAAAGTGCATTGTTCTGCTCGCAATGTTGTGGAATGTACTATTGGAGTACTAAAGAATAGATGGCGATGCTTATTAGGGCATAGGGTGCTTCATTATCATCCTAGTAAAGCATCCAAATTCATTAATGGATGTTGTGTGTTACACAATATCTGCAACCAGTCCCACAATTATTATCATATTGAGGATACTGAGATATTGGATGATGCTGAAATATTATACCAGCATCTCAAGAAGCTCAGGGACTGGGTTCATCAGTTGCTGAACTCAGGAGAGGTATTGAAAAAAGAAATTCTTTGGTTCAGCAACTACGGTCAGCTTGTAGGTGATTTTAATAAAGGTTGTATCTGTAGTGTAAAATAAAACATAAATTTAAAGTTGATTTATAATGATCTAATTAAAGTGAGTTTCTAAATTAGTTAACACTGTAAAACTTTAATAAGTTGTTTTAGTAATCCTAAGCATAGTCTCAGAAGTACAACAACTACTTTACAATTTCAACTTGGATATATTTAAAAATTGTTATAATTTTATCTAACTTCCTTATTATATTTTGTGATAGTAATTTGTGTCATAATTATTATTTTTTTATTACAATCTTGTAAATAAAACTAATACTAATTATATATATTGTAAGTTACATTATTTGGTTGTTTTTATTTCAGTCTTGTTAATATAGCTAATATTTTAATCTATGGTAAACTATCCCGTTTTACAGTCTTACAAGTAAAATAAACTTATACTCCAATTATTTACATTTTACATTCCAAATAATAATAATAATAATACCTAAAGCGAAAATACAACAACTAAACTTATTTTTTTCTTAATTTTGTAACCTATTACTTATTACCCCTAATGCATTTGCTATCCTTGTATGAGCCTCAGCTATGGGCAGCATTTGCGAGTCGGTCAAAACTTCTGCTGGTATTAGCAAAGGCCTCCGCAGTAAGCCTCTTAGCCTCTACGCGCCTTTCTTCTATGCATGCCATATGGTCCATCTCTGCATCAACACTTCTTGACAGCAATCGTTGTGACCGTCGACGAGAAGCATTTGTAGCGGAATCTTAAAACACAAATTTCATACTAAATAATTTGTTACTAATTCTTCAAAAAACAATTATAAAACACCACTTAAAGATCTGCATTTAACTCAACACTATCCTAACAAGTGGGTCTCCATTGCTTTTTTTTGACATTCCAATCCAAAGACCTCTTAAGTTTTTATCAATGTGCTTGTACATTACTGAATTGAAGGAATGTCTGTTGTGGTTTTGAAAGAATTTATTGAGGAATTCAATATAGGTATATTTTAAATGACTTTATATGCATGGTTAATAATAAATAACTCACTTGATGGAGGTGGTATCGTGCCAGCGGCAGCAGAAGTATCTTGCCTTGAGGTCCCAGCAGTGGGGAGTGGAGGAGGCAGTAAAAGTTCTTCGTCTATTATGCCCTCCCTCCTCAATGATAATATGACATCATTTGCAGAAGTGGTAGGTGTCTCCACAGCTTCTGTTATTGACTGCTGAAAAGTATTAAAGTTAATGTCACAAAATATAGTTTTTTTTTTGAGAATATTATTATTAAAATAACTATCTATGTATAGTGACATTTCCTAGGGCATTTAAAGACAGCTATTTCGGTCCACTTCCTTTTGTTATCTTGTTTGCCCTGTGAAGTCCTTAGAAAATCCCTAGCGATACAGGGATTTTGCTCAAGGAACTCCACAAGAGCTTCCAATTGTTGAGAAGTAGGCCAATTTAAAACAAATTGCATACATTCAACATAAAATAATCAGACAAAAATACGTACCTTAAATAATCACTGCTTGACAATATAACCGCTACACAACAAGGCTGCAAGAAACACTGCACTTATCTGAAGTACTACAGCCATGAATTAAACACTTCATTAAAACTTATGAAACTTTTAAAACTTATCTCGGAAATACACATTTTTTATTTATTTAAGGCAAATGCGTGACGACATACAGTCTCAGTGTGTTTATAAGATGATAAACAACAAAATATAGTGTTTAAGGTACCGAAAAGTAATAGTTAAGGACACACTGGACACATAATTACATTGTTTATTAAATTATTCATTAAAATCAATCATTTATGGTGTTAGAAACAGTTTTTTCATTTTGTTAAATGTTTGTCGATACGGCGTAAGCGCAAAGGTCCCCACTATTGCAGAGTTTTAATTAAGCTAACTTCATGCGTAACTATCCAATAACATCTCAATCCCAATTTCAAGCGTTTCAAGAGTATGGTTTCTGAATTGTATTATTATTGGATTGGCTTCAAATTGACATTGAGAATAGATTCAAGAGTAAGCAGGCAGGACTAACCAAGGACCATTTGAATAATTTTTTTTTTTTATAGATAGGTCCGTAAATGACTCCACCCCACCGATGTTAAGTGAAGGTGAAGTCCAGACAAAGTGAAGAAATTCAGGGTATTTAATAGTGTAATGCATAAATGTCAATAAAATTAACAAATCAAAATAACCTCCACCTTATAGAATACCACAGTAAAATAACACTATCTTTTGGTGGTGTTGTGTTTTGGTAGCGTTTATAGGCCATGGTGGCCGCTTACCAGCAGGCGGGTCATACACTTCTTTGCCACACTTTAATATAAAAAAAGTATTTTAAAGACGAAAGACACGCATACTGTTCCTATTATATATGACGAGCCAACAAAACGGTATTTTAGCGAATGTAGGTTTTAGAAAATTAAACTCTTGATGGTCATTTGAGGAATGTCCTTTATTCGAGAAAGCATCGTATATATACAAAATTTTACAGTAATTAATTGTCAATAAATTGGGTAGGTACATAATAATTAATATGAGTGATGTGCGAGCGGGAGAGGTAGGTTTGCGCCTTTCGCTCGCAAACGGCGCGAGCGGGGATGCGTGCGCGTCACTTAACAAAACCACCGAGAGCAGTACCCCTAGCACGAACCATTACCGAATTCGAATAGTTTGCAAACCGAAATGTCAATGTCAAAGGAGATTGCTCAGCTTCCATACATGTTTGGCCTAATGACCAATAATCATGAAAAATTGTTTCCTAGATTCGAAATTTTAAATAATTACTGTAGAAACGAATATTATTGACGGATACCCCTGAGAACTTATATAAACCATATACACTGAACATATTAAAATAATAAAAAACAAATAAGTTATATAGTAAACTAGGAAAATCAAGCCAATTGCCGAAATTATGGATGAGATTCAGGTATAGAGAGCATGTAGATTAACATATAGTTGCCTGTTTTTAAAGTTAATGCATAAGAGTAACTTTTAAAATCAGGTGTCATTTACGGTTATAATAAGGTACTCTGTGACAGAAACTGTGTGATGATTGTGAATGAGCCACAGATTAGAGAGAATTTTTAAACTCTCGTTAACCAAAGAAAGCTAAAGAGATTTAGGTTCTATAGCCATACATTCAGTAGCTTCATTATTTTTGTTATGTTTTTAAGATAACCATATTTTGGATTTTTAGTGTATCAAACCTTATAATTTTATTTATTTATAGTCAGGGAACGTAGGCCCATAGATAGATACCTTAAAGTCTAACATATATACAGATTATAATGTGTTTATGGAGGTGTTTGGCGAAAAATGTATGGCAATAGACTTTATGATGTCGCCTACCATTTATAATAATTGTCTGAGCACATTTGCATCTACTGAAAATGATATTATAGTTGTGGATATTAATACCACAGTGTAATAAATCTTTATTTTTTATTTATTTTTATCGATTCTTACAAAATAGATTTGTTTTTATGTTATATAAACAACTTCGATCAGTCTTTGGCTGAATGTTACTACAGCCATAACCATTAAAAATGATTCGTTTGTTTTCCAAACCGGTAAAATTAAACGTCCTTTTTAAAGTAAATATATTATACAAAGGTGTCCGTTGAAATCTAATGACTGTAAATTAAATTATAAATTACGCCAAGAATTACCGTGTATGTCAATATTTTTTGTGCATTTGGGTCAATTTGAGCAATCTCCTTTTGTATGGAAACTTGAACAGCAGCGGCAAAAAGTAGGTAACGAGAACTAAAAATCAGTACACATTGATAATGACATTTCGAATTCGCCTAAAACAGTGTTAAAATTACTAAATTTACAAATTAAAAACCATGCCAAAAGCTCACTGGAAGTATGTCATTCAGTTTTATACAGCTCCTGTAAAATTTAATTTTATGTAATTATACCGTTTTGTTCGCCAGCTCCTCATATGGTATTCTTTTAACATAAAAGAAATCTAAATACTCACCGACGTAATATCCAAGCGCCTGATACTCCGTGACCAGCTGTTGTTTCTGGTCGGAAGTCATTCTAGCGAATACAGCCCCGCGGGAGATGACCCTCCCTACCATGTGGGGGTAATGCTCGCGTAGTACCTACGAATAAAAAAAACAGTCCTTAAGGTGCAATTTCACTTGTCGTCATTCGTTAGCTCGTATACGATTGCTTATGGAATTCGGGCAAATGACTAAATTATCAGTCAATGAACGGAGTCGAGTACGCCTGTGTTCGAACAGCTTTCGTTTTGATTACCCGATACCGTTTTCCTTTCAAGCAGTAGTTTCAGACATTTTCCCTCCTATTTATTTCCCCCAAAATTATTTTCTACCAAATTTGGGGAGAATCCCCCGAATCTGGCATCACTGAGGAGCGTTCCAACCCGAGTGCGGGCGCAGCGTTGTACGCCCGTGTTCCAGTAACGGAACGTGAGTAAAACAATGTCAAGTCTTGTTATGTTAAGTCGGGTCCCCGAAATCTAGTAATATCTTTCGTGCACACAAATACTGGCTAACGACCAAGTGTAATTGCACCTTTATGTGGTGGAGGATTATTTTCTTATGAAGAATAATACATTCTTTCATTACTAAGAAATAGAGTTTTAACACGATGAATATAATTTATTATTTATTTTCGTTAGCGTACACATACAATAATAAAAATAACGTGGTTACATCAAAATTGAATCACAACTGGCACGGTGGCACCAGGCAATCCTTACGAAGGAGAGTTTTGGTGTCTTTGCCTGTACCTGTAGAATTTAATACCTTTGCCTTTAAAAAGATCTTTTAGTATTCTTAAGATCAAGTTTAGATTTGATTCGTAAATAAATTAGAAAATTTTAAGGATACTCAACAAAAAGAAATCGGTTTTTCTTTGATTTTATGTAGTCAGTTTTATTTTTACTGTTCATATATAGCGATGTAATTAGTAGCCTTATAAAGGCGTCCTTGAAATAATCAAATTATGTAATAAATAATTGAAACACTTAAAGACGCCTTAATAAGCCGGCGTGACATATGAGGGGACGCACTTATTCAAATATGCCAGTTAGCACTTTGAAATAATTCTCACTTTCACTTCTTCGTGTTTATTTAAAACTTCGGCGACACTCCGCAAGATCTTCGTCGCACTGTAAATCCCCACTCATGACCACCTAGAGATCCCTCCACGACTCACTAGATTTCTCCACGGCTCACTCGATTCTCTCCACAACCTCCTAGATTCCCTCACTTTTTGTAACATCATCTTATAGTTATTTAAAACAAGTTTAATCTCACCCGCCACGTATCTCCACTCATGACCACTTTGTACCGCGGCTCTCCCCCCTCCAATTCCCCCCTGCCCCTCCACGACCCACTGGACCTACCCGAGCCCCTCCATGACCCGTGCCCGCTGTCATCGCTGTTCCATTCCTTGTGCAACAACACTTTACCGCCTACTGGTGTCTGGTGACAAATATAATAATTGATTATATTTTACATTTAAAGCATTCATCATCATCAGCCTATTAATGTTCCCACTACTGGGGCACAGGCCTACCCTATGGATGGAATAGGGAGATTGGGCCATGACCCACCACGCAGGCCCAGTGCGGGTTGGTGGGTGCTAACGACTGCAGATGCAGCCTGGACTAACTGCTTAACGTGCCTTCCGAAGCACGGAGGAGCTCGAGATAGTAAATTTTCGGTCACCCATCCAATGACCGACCACTGCGAAAGTTGCTTAAATTCAACGATCGCAGCGGAACGCGCTAACCACTTGCGCCATCGAGCTCCTCGAGCTTTAAAGCATTACGCTGCTTGATTTGTAAAACTAAATATTTTTTTACAATAGAAAATTCATCCGGATCAATGTGTCAAGTGGGACTCGAACCTGCGGCTTCCCCTGTCCGAGCGGAAGCACTGACCGCTATGCTACCGAGATCTTAATGACCATGTTGAATTGCTTCTAGTATTTATTTGGCTGCAAGATTGCCCCTTCGCATTGTAGGTAAAACACAATGACAAAATAAAGAATAATGTAAAATTAATACAAATAAATTTATAATAAAGAGCTCGACGACGCAAACGGTAAGCGTTTACGGTCTGCAATCATGGAAGTTTCGAAATGTAGCCTTAGGATAATATAATCGGTCACTATGTTCTAATGGCTATGTTCAAATTGTGTCCATATTTTAATTCCATTACATTTTACAAATTATTTAAAGACTTCTACTAAAGATTTGTGTTGATAAAGTAAAATTATATTTTTTTGATTCTGTACTAGAACCTTACTTTATTTCCCTAAAATATAAATCGTTCTGAGAGGCACAGTATCAGGATTGTAGCTAGTGATCTAGTTAATGTCTTTACACATTTACTATTTAATGTCTGTAATCACATTGCCTCAATTTAAAAGATACTTTACAAGATCTGGCTGACTATCGTATAGCATACATATACTGATACATATATATTATAAGTAAATTTATATAGAAATACATATTAAACTGTTTGAGGAGCTCGATTACGCGGGTGGTTAGCGCGTTCGGCTGCGATCGTTGGCAACTTTCGCAGTGGTCGGTCATTGGATGGGTGAATCTTCTATCTCGAGTTCCTCCGTGCTTCGGAAGGCACGTTAAACTGTTGGTCCCGGCTGCACCTTTAGTCGTTAGCACCCGTCATCCGCACTGGGCCCGCGTAGTGAGTCATGGTCCAATCTCCTTATTCCATCCATGGGGAAGGCCTGTGCCCCAGCAGTGGGGATATTAATAGGCTGATGATGATGATGATGACATATGAAACATCCATGACTGGAGTACAAATGCTCGTATTTATCATACAAACATCTGCCTCCACCGGGATTCGAACCCAGGGCCTCTCGAGTAGGCGACATTTTGAAATAATGCTTAAACTAGCAGTATAACGATATAAACTCACCCCCTGCGTAGTGCTCTCGCAGTATATAACATTATTGTCTGCGTACAAATGAACCACTCTCTCCCCACTCATTAGGATTCCGCACTCTTTGGCCACACTGACTGCTGTGTGGATATTGTCACCTAATAAACAAGACAAGGCATTGTGTTAATATATCACATAACAATACAAAAATCGATCCTATTCTTTTAGCTTAGGGTTGAAATCGTTTTTAGCCTTCAAAAGGTTAAAGCATCACAGGACAAGAAATCATCTACGTTCGTGACTGCTCAAGATCTGCCCTTAAACAACGTAACATTTTTGATTAGAATTGCAACGAATATTCGGTTACTATTCGGTATTCGGCCTATTCGGCTGGTTTTGTTATATTCGGCCGAATACCGAATATCTACATATTATTCGGCCGAATACTTAAATAATATATTTTATCATAGAGAAATAATTGGTAAAATGAAAAATTAAAATCGATTGATTAAGTATATATTCATATTTTCATTTCTGTTATATAATCATTTAAGTAGTCATTGGTACCTAACACAGGTACATAATCATCTTCTGAATTGGAAAAATGGAGGATTCTATGTATTTGAATTATTGTGGTAATCAAAATTTAGAAGGGTAAGTTTCTAATTTCTTTCATAATCATTTATTAAGTAGTTATTGGTACATAAAACAAGTACATAACTTAAACATTTTCTGTATTAAACAAGTTAACAGTTTTTAATTCATCCAGTCATGTGATGAATGGTTACATAATAGCAATAATTTAAAGTTTACGCGCGTTTTCGGCCACATCTCAAAAGTTGGTTTTGTTATTTAGCCGCATTTTAGCTTGAGGACGGCAGATTAGAACAAAACAAAGGAGCGCGAAACAAGTCTGTACAAGTTTTTGGCGCTAAAATCCAGCCGAATACTTTTGCCTAATATTCGGCTATTCGGTCAGGGGCCTCGCCGAATATTCGGTATTCGATATACTGCCGAATATACTATTCGTTGCAAGTCTATTTTTGATATTAACTTAATATATTTATTTTAAAGTCGGTTAAAAACGAACATTATTAAAAACACATTGTTTTTGTTTTGTTCATTAGCAAAAACATATATTTTTGTATGAAAATAAACACATTTCTGCCGAAACAAGATTTTTTATTAATTATAATTAAACCCTATCTATTTCCCAACTAAAACAAGTGTTTTGTGTCTTTTTGAGAACCAAGGAACAAATCCTCACGCATTCCGTGTCTGTTGCAGGGTGGGGACGGGGTCCATACAAAATCCCCCATGGTCCTTTACCATTTCAAACTGGTTAAATGGTTATTCGTAGACGAAAACTAATTGAAAACCTTACGCATCAATAATATACACAATACAGATGATATGAAATTCAGGTTCACAGTTCACTTCTTCACTTTAATCAACAAAAATGGTTTCAAAGTTAATGTCGATAAAGATTACTTTTTCATCGACTCGTACACAGTTACAATTTACCTGTGATCATGACGACGTGAATATTTGCCTCCTTCAGCTCTCTTATGATGCCGGTAGTTGCGGGTTTCAATCGATTTTCCATTATAACCAAACCCAGAAATTCTAAGTCATGTTCCACCTAAAAGTAATTGTTTCATTATACCGGTCATAATTACATTAAGAGCTTTTAACATAAGACGGTAAGTAATGAATTCTAGAAAGTTAGCAACTGGTGTAATTTTTCCTAAATGAATGTAATGGTTCCGTGGGGTAGTGTGTTGGGTTCGCGGGTCAATTGCCTAACGGGATTGCTATGGCTATCGCTATCGCTTACGATTTCATTTAGTTATTTCTGATCCCCGAAAGTTTTCAAATACCTAACGCTCATTTTCTTAAATATTGTTATTACCAATGCAAAATAATAAAACTAGCGCGAGGCATTTCAAAACCTTCACCGGCCTGAAATAAAAAAAAAGTTATCGTAAGCGATAGCGATAGCCATAGCAAACTCTTTAGGCGATTGGCTCCCTGGCCGGCAAGGAGAAGATGGCTGGAGCGATACACTTTCTGCCGCATCATCTATCTTTGCGACTAGGACGACTATGAAAAAGCAAATTTAGCGACCATCCTTGCTTTTTTTTATTTTATATTTTCGAAAAAGCTGACAGTATACAAAAAGTAATACAACGGGTTGTTTGTTTTTTAATGGTTTCGATTCTGGCATGACTCTCTAAAGCTAAACTTAAAGACAACAGTGCATCTTTTTCATTCTCTGTACAGTATGAAAAGGAAAGAATGTTTTAAGAAAATCATGCCAGAATTGACAACAGTATCTAGAACAAATTAATTTTATACAATACAAATAAAGTCACTGAAACAAACGGATTCAAAATCTGTGCACGATTTAAAAAAAATATAGAAAAAGGAACACTTCCTAACGTATAGTATAGACTTAGAAAAAACTTCCTTGTTGAAAGAAAAAAATTCAAAAGATCACTTACCTCGTCTCTGGTCATCTTCTGCAGATCCTTAAAGGTGGTCTCCATCATCCTGGTGGACAGGGCGATGACTCTATACCCCTTTTCCGCGTACGAACTCAGTACTTCGGTCAAGTTCTCCGGCACTGATGGCAATAAAGAAAGAAAGAAGTAAATCTTATGAAATTTGGAGTTTTGAGTGTTTTGAAGGTCGGCTAAATATTTACGTATAATTATTTTTTTTAAAGAAAATTTTACTAGAATAAATTCCACGCAGTCCAGAAGAAATAGCAATATTTAAAGTAATCTATATATATAAAACTCAAAGGTGACTGAATGACATAGTGATCTATCAACGCACAGCCCAAACCACTGGACGGATCGGGCTGAAATTTGGCATGCAGGTAGATGTTATGACGTAGGCATTTCGCTAAGAAATTCGACGACCTCCGTGGCCGAGTGGTTTGTACGCCGGGTTTCATGGTGTCGCCGACTCGAGAGGTCCCGGGTTCGAATCCCAGTGGGGGGGGCAGATGTTTGTGTGATGAATACGAGCATTTGTACTCCAGTCATGGATGTTTGATATGTATATCTATATAAATATGCTTATATATGTACAGTATATGTATTCTATCCGTTACCCTAGTATCCCATAACACAAGCCTTATAGTGCTTACTTTGGGGCTAGGCTAATTGGTGTGAGTGTTGGAAATATTTATTTATTTATTTAAGAAAGGATTTTGATCAATTCTACCCCCAGTGGGATAAAATAGGCAATGAAAGTTTGTATGAAACTGTCAATTTTAAACCGATCGGGCTGAGACTTTGCATGCAGGTATAAGAAGAATCATAGATGAATATCATTGTTTATAATACAAGCCTGAGAACAAAAACTGTAGTCTACACTTCAGCTCTTTATCGAAGCGAAGTGAGGGCGGACCGCTTGTATTTTAATATTTTTCATTTAACTGCTAAATGTTTAAATTTAATTGCTATTTCTTCTTTCAAATGTTGAATACTTGTACAGGTATTCATTTGACATTTTGGGTTTACCTACAATGTGAAGGGATGGCGCTGCCTAGCAGCCCAAGAAGTACTAGAGAAAATTCGTAACATAATGGTCAGTGTATTGGTCCAGATAGCGAAAGGTGCGGGTTCTAGTTCCGTCTGCTGCCTGGACCGCGGGATTTTTTTCTAGTAAAATTTTCTTCAGATATAAATATTTCTTAAAAAAATAAAAATATCACTTTATTGAATTCAAAAAAGGAGATTCTCAATTCGACATTATACTATTTTTATTGTTCGAGTATTGTGTACCAAGGGTTGTTGGGCGATTTTGACTATTCTTTTTTTGAAAGAGTTTGTTAGCGAGCTGGTTCTATATTAATGTCGGTGAAGATCTGATAAATGCTTTCGAAGAAAAACAACGGAACTCTTAAAATACGAATATATAAATTTTGGTTATTTTACGAAATAGGACAGAAGGATTACAGCCAGAGATCTATATTTCATAAGCTGATGATGCTCTAGTTTATAAAAGTGAAATATAGCAACTCTTTCTTACAAAAATAAAAAGGGACTTCCTAAAAACAAAACCACAAAAAGTTTAGAAATAATACATTTTCTCTACTTAAGTCTAAAGTACCTTTAAAGTCAAATTAATATTTCATCATTATCATCAGCCTATTAATGTCCCCAATGCTGGGGCACAGGCCTTCCCTATGGATGGAATAGGGAGATTGGGCCATGACCCTCCACGCGAGCCCAGTGCGGATTGGCGGGAGAGTTAACGACTGCAGATGCAGCCGGGACCAACGGCTTAACGTGCCTTCTGAAGCACGGAGGAACTCGAGATAGAAGTTTTTGGTCACCCGATTCAGTCATCCAATGACCGACCACTGCGAAAGTTGCTTAACTTCAACCATCGCAGCCGAACGCGCTAACCACCTGCGCCATCGAGCTCATCTAATCTCAATTAATATTAAGAGTCGGTCGGTGTATTGCATGTCTGATAGATCTGACTGAATCTGAGTTTCCATTTATTACTTGGGTTGGTATGACACCGACGCCAAATATTAATTTGACTTTAAAGGTACTTAAGACTTAAATAAAAGGATAGTAAGCGCGTTTGCCTGCGATTGTGGAAAATAAGCAACTTCCCCAATGGTCGGTCATTGGATGGGTGACCAAAAACTTATTATCTCGAGCTCATCTGTGCTTCGAAAGGTTAGTTAAACCGTTGGCCCAAGCTACATCTGCAGTCGTTAGCACCCACCAATCCGCACTGGGCCCGCGTCCACTACGCGGGCCCGGGTCATGGTCCAATCTCCTTATTCCATCCATAGGGAATGCCTGTGCCCCAGCAGTGGGGGCATTAATAGGCCGATGATTATGATGATATTAACAAATCTTATACCGAGCAATGGACTGATGTATGACCAGTTAAGTTTGCATTTTAAGAAGGAATCTTAAGAGACAAGGGCCCTATCTCTTTATTCCATACATAGGAAAGGCCCCTGCAGTAGGGAAATTAATAAGCTGATGATGGTCCCTACCAGTATGAGGTTTGCACAAAGTACGCAGAGTCTCAGGTGCCCCTTTACAGTATACTCTTAATACATCTTCTCCCTTCATCTGCACGACGACGGAAGATCGTTGAAGAGAAGATACGAATTGGTGCTGCTGTGCAATACCCACTTCTAGAGGCATCTGAGATAAAAACATTATTGAGAGTTATCACAGAGATATTAGTGTTAATTCTACAGTGTATCCTTGTCATTCGCTATACAGAATGAAAAGGAGAGACTGATGTCAAATATAATTTGAGGTTTTAAGAATCATGTTATAATCGACACCATTGGCATTAACTACTTGTCGGGTCAATATAACAGTCCAATATCGAATAGGGTATTTGACAGTATTAAAAATAAAGTGCTAATTGTTAGCATCTGTCATTATAATGAATAATGGCAGGGGTTTTTACTATTATTACAGAAATAATATTCACAATTTAACTAAAAACCTACGAAAAAGATAATAGTTTTCATATCTATTGTCACGTGATAGAAAACGCCTGGGATTGGCGGAGCCTAAAATGACGTCACACACTAGTAAACTTCTAGTCAAAGTGACATTACATTGTATCGTTTGACGTTTTAATGACAGTCGTGTGACGTCACACACCAGTGAGACGCCATATTGCCCAGAGTAACGTTTTCACGGCAACTTGAAAATTGAGTGATTGATTTAGTTAATTTTACTGAAATTCACAAGAGAATGATGAATATATCCACTTTTATGGACTCCATTAACATTAGTAAGTAACGTGAGATCGTTTTCCAAAACTTGTCAAATAGCCTATTCGAATAATTGAATTCGAATCCGATATGCGTCAAATTACAAGAGGTTTTGTATGGAAGATTTTTAATCCTCGTTCAGTCCACTGTGGCGCTGTTAAAATTTCCATACGAAACCTCTTGACATTTGACGCGTATCGAGTTCAAATTTCAATAGGGAAGACGGTTGGTATATACCACCAGCTTGAGAGAGTTCTTCTCAGAGAGGTATCCCAATTTTGGAACCGGTGGTAGTTTACGGTAGTTAGGGTCAAATAAATAAACTCAAAATTACTAAATAGAATTAAATAAATTACTTTATTAATTAAATAAGCTAATAAATTCAAGCATAGACAATAAAGTTTTAAAAATCTTCCAATGAAATATCCGAACGATTCAATAAGTCTTTTGAAGGTAGTTCGATAAAGTAAGTAACTAAATAAAAAAAACATTATTCCGGCGACACATTCCTGAAAAGGATGCGAAACGTCAATAAATAAATAAATCAGTACATGTAACCCGTAAAAACTAGTTTTATTTAATGAGGATATGCGTGAAAACCTAGGAAATCAACTATTAGAATTCGATATTGGTTCGCGCTAAGGGTACTGGTTTTCCTTACATTACATAACTAACGGGTGCCCGCAACCTGTCAATACTTTGTGGAAAAATGCGTTTCCCATGTAAAAGGGGATGAAAGTTTCTATGGGAAACAATCTTTAAATTACAATTTCACGAAATTAGCCTATAACCGTCTCCAGTCTCATCTATGTTTTTAAAAATCATCATCATCATTATGTCAGCCATACGACGGCCACTGCTGGGCATGGGCCTCCCCCAAGGATCTGCGGCGATATGGGGAAGAATAAAGATCTTATTTTTTTGTCTCTGCGCGCAATTCTGAATGCGCTGTTAGCAAAATAGCAGGTACGGACCGCGAGGAAATTAGACGGCTGTATTGGAATATCACAAATATTTTCTAATAAATCAGTTTATAGTAAGTATTAGAACAAAATTTGCTTCAAATGCGTTAAATTTACAAACATTGATTAGATACCTGTCGAAAAAAAACAATTTAGACATAAGTATTTTTTTCGCATTTTTTCACGGAACTCTGCGGCATTTTGGCTTTTCAGCGAACCGCGCGTGACTGTGAACCAAGACGTGCTTGAGTGGCGTTCAAGCACTTCTTGATTGGGGCACATTTTTGGTCGTCTGTAATATGAGTGGTATGACTATGATAAAAACATACATGTATATCGTCCACGTTGATGTTCGCAGATTTCTTTGGTTTGACAATGGTCGGAGTTAACACTTCGTAGTTGGAACTCTCGGGCACTTCCAACTCTTCGAGGGTCCATCCGGTCGATTCGAACATCTGCATCAGAAAAATGTATTTTAGAACACGTGTTTTCATGCACAAGAATAAATATTTATTTAAAATAATAGAGTAAGATCCCAAAGCCGGCAGTCCTTACTTATTTTATAATGGACAAAATATGAAAAAAGTAGTATTAGTAAGTACAATGAACGTATACACACTTGCTAACTTGTGATGTGGGCCAATTTTTAAATACCAGATGGGACATGCACGTAAAAATTCTACTCACAAAAAAATTAAATTAATACTGCCACATACATTCTGTCAGCAGTGTGCATGGGAGTGTTCAGTCAGTAAGGGTCTGAAATCACCCTGCAAATGTTGGGTATCCATGAGGATTTCACACCCTCTCCTCCGCCTGGGAGAAAATACAAAAAAAAAAGAAATAGGAAAGACTTACTTTCAAGTCCAGCGGATCTCCGGCTAATTCCCCATCTAACAGAGTAAGGCTGTGGCACGTAGCCATAGCTATCTTGAGTTCGTGTAGATCATTCAATAGGCGGGGGTCCCTCTGCGGGCGGCCTAGAGAAGGCGGGTGTGTCGCCGCTGTCACTGGGACCACACCCCACATATCTAGCCCGTCTTCGGTTAGTGTGCCCGTCTGGAACAAGGCGGTTTATTAAAAACCGTAGCTAGACGAGTATTACCAAAACTATATTGAAGGCTGCAGGAGGTTATAAATGGGGGGGGAGGAGTCGAAGTGGCTTGGGGTGGGTCAGATAGATTTTCTTTCGCAGCAGGCGACCCCAGTGTGGTTAAGTCGTTTTATAAAACTATCATAGAATAATACAGCATTTATTTTGATACACAGGTCCCCTTATTAATAAACGAAGACTAAGGTTGGATTATTTATTCTAGGTTTTGTCTCTATTCATTGAATGTCAAATGGCACTGGAGTGATATGACTAAAATACGGCGTAACTAATCTAAGCTTATTCCTCGTTTCTCTCTAGTCTTTCTTAAGCTGTAAGGCAGCGCCATCTATTCGCATTGTAGGTAACCCACAATGTCAAATGAATACCTTTACAAGTATTAAACATTTGAAAGACGAAATAGCAATTATAGTTTTATAAGAAAGGCTAGAGAGAATTCGACAAGGCCATCAGAGCCCCGTCTGCTGCCTGGTCCGCGTGGATTTTCTTTTCTAGCATAATTTTCTTTAGATTTAAACATCTAGCAGTTACAAGCTAAAAAAAAATATAACAGTTGTTTTTATCATTGAACTAGTTCGAGCGAGCCGCTCACGTTGACGGCGCGGGTGTTGAGGCAGGCCACGCGCGCGCGCTTGTTCCAGTTCTCACCTTGTCGAAGCACACGCAGTCGAGCGAGCCGCTCACGTTGACGGCGCGGGTGTTGAGGCAGGCCACGCGCGCGCGCTTGTTCCAGTTCTCACCTTGTCGAAGCACACGCAGTCGAGCGAGCCGCTCACGTTGACGGCGCGGGTGTTGAGGCAGGCCACGCGCGCGCGCTTGTTCCAGTTCTCACCTTGTCGAAGCACACGCAGTCGAGCGAGCCGCTCACGTTGACGGCGCGGGTGTTGAGGCAGGCCACGCGCGCGCGCTTGTTCCAGTTCTCACCTTGTCGAAGCACACGCAGTCGAGCGAGCCGCTCACGTTGACGGCGCGGGTGTTGAGGCAGGCCACGCGCGCGCGCTTGTTCCAGTTCTCACCTTGTCGAAGCACACGCAGTCGAGCGAGCCGCTCACGTTGACGGCGCGGGTGTTGAGGCAGGCCACGCGCGCGCGCTTGAGCCGCGTCACCGCGTACAGCCGCCCCACCGTCATGGCGGCGGGCAGCGCGGGCGGAATCACTATGGTGATTATGTCCAGCGCTTTTAAGGTTATATCGCCGGGCGTTAGTTGGCGATATGCCTGTTAAACAAAAACATAAATAAATAACACTATAGGTAAACCTTTTTTTTTGGCACACGTAAAACCGATTTCTGGCGTGACGCGTCGCCCGTAAAATACAATATATGTTCTCAACTACTCGCCGATCAGTACGGCGCCAGCGCCCTTCGGGGCAGGACCTATGTAATTTTTTACCTCACGTATCCCAAGCAATTCTGCGAGTGTATTTATCGTAATCCGGCTAGTGTTTCACATCTGCCAGGGACGATGACTAAATTTTATTTCTTCATCCATTTATATACCAAACATATATCAAGCTGTAAAACACAAACTTAAACTAACTAAAATTGATTTCAAGATAATTTGTTAATGCCAAAATAAATAAAAGAAACAATAAACCAGTCTTTTTATCCCGTACATATTTAGTAAATTAATGACTTTTTATAAAAGTTCTTTATTATGGTAAGCAACGCGTAAATAAGGCTATGATGGCTGCTTTAACATTGAGCTCTTCATACACTTGTTTTCCATCATCCTAACTAATAACATAATTGCGAGAGAAAGTTTGTTTGTTACTCAATCACGCAAAAACTACTAGCCGGATTTAGATGAAGTTTGGTACGCATATATTTTATGACCTAGATTGAGACAAGGGATACTTTTTCCCAAAAAATGTACGAATTCGCAGGTATAGCTAGTTTTAATATAAAATAATAGAAACACAACTTACCTTTAAAGCCACGGTATAAGCCAATCCAAGAAGAGCTATCCCCGCCAATATAATGATAAACTTGTACGAGTCGCGGTCAAATTTGAAGTCAGCTGGTACTGGGTACAGAATACTGCGCACTAACTGGCCCTTACTAGTGTTGTATCCGGTTCGAAGGACCAAGGCACTATGAACAGAACATATAATATTTATTTATATATGTATATATATATATATATTGTAACAACTGAATTCTGTTTCATAGGTCCACAACAGGCTATTTGACAGTATGAAAAATAAAGTACAAATTTTGGCATGTGTATGAGTGATTTCACTATCCTAACAGAAAAGTAATTGATAATATTACTTAAAAATTATGGCGGCCATTACATGTCAATTTCTATCAAAATCAATGATCAAAATCCAAATCGGAGGCTCCCCTTCGCCCCCGATCGAACTGCCAAATTTTTATTTATTTATTAATTTAAACTTTATTTTTATACTCAAGAGCAAATAAACCGGGCCTTCCAATAGTAACTTTGAGCTCTGATTCGATAAAAAAAAGTATAATTTTAATTTACAACCATCAAAGCTACATGTACTGAAAATGCGTATAAAACTCACCGCACAGGTTCGTTGTTGAACGGGCGCGCTTGTATCACTTTGGTGCCACAGAACAATACGCTGGAAGCGTGCACCTTCATGTCGAACTGTTTGTCTGTACGTAAGAGGGCAGTTTTTGTCACCGGAACTGATTCGCCTGCAAACAAAAACGAAAGTTGAGGCAGAGAGGCAGAGCATAACATAACGGATTTAACATGCCGATAAAACAGAATTAAAAGGTTCGGCGACAAAAACCTAACTTGGTTGAAGGAATTAATCTTAGCTGTTGCTTTTCGCTTCTACTTAAAGTAAGACGTTTTTGAATTGTTTAATATTGATTGTTCCATGTGACGTGACTCCGATGATTCAATGAAAAATTATGTGTACGCTCTTAAGGTTATCAATGATCATGCAGAAAGAGGAATTTCTTCGAACTAAAACAGTGGCTGTTAAGAATCGTCGAAATTACAGGAAAAAAGTAACCAAGTGGTTGACAGAAGGAATTGTGTGGTACAAAGTTGGTTAATATAACACGACTGTGGTGCCCTCATTTTGATTTGTATTTAAATTAGATTTTATGTTTGTTATCTGTATTTTTTTAATAAAAATTGAAAATACGATTCTGTTATTTTTTTAAAAGTGATCAATCTGTGCACACTCGTAATATTATCCAATCTCCTTGAAATTTAGCATGGATAAGTTTTATATCATTGAGACTCGGGGAAAGAGCGAAGTCGGCAAAAAAAAATATTTTATATGCCTAGCAAAATGAAACACCCTAATGTAGTTATAAAAATTATCCTTGTTTCACAACATTTGTCGTTGAAGTAAGATACGGATAATATTGTAACAAAATACCTGTTATTTTATAACATATGTCGACTCGGTGAAATAAGGCCCCGATAGCTCTGCCACTCTCCTCTAAGATCACTGACCCCGTAAGCATGCTTTCGTTAATCACGCAGGCCTCTCAGTACAGCGTCCGCGAGCATGACGCAGCCCCGACGCGGAACTACGATAACGTCACCGACCGCCACCCACTAAGTTTGTAGGGATGAAGGCCAAAGGGGAAGATCTTGCACCGAGCTGGATAATGTTAGCTCGGGGGCTGTGTTATCCATATATCAGTTAGTCTTCGAATTTCTCTAGCGCGATGTAGGCTTTCCATACTATTAAATGCGCCGCCAGTAGCTCCTGTGCCGAACCCTGTCCGCTCTGCCACCCCCCTACAAGGACACTCGCCTGTAAGCATGCTCTCGTTGTCCACGCAGGCGCCGCCGATGAGCACAGCGTCCGCGAGCATGACGCAACCCCGGGGCGGAACTACGATGACGTCACCGGCCGCCACCCTCTTAAAGTTTAAGTTTGTAGCGATGAAGGCCAAAGGGGATGATCTTCCACCGAGCTGCGTGAAGTTAGCCGGGGACTGTGTTATATATGTGGAAGTCACCGAATTTCTCTAGCGCGATGTAGGCTTTCCATACTATTAAATGTGCCACCAGTAGAACCCTGTCCGCTCTGCCACCCCCCTATAAAGACACTCACCTGTAAGCATGCTCTCGTTGACGACGCAGGCGCCGCCGATAAGCACAGCGTCCGCGAGCATGACGCAGCCCCGGCGCGGCACAACGATGACGTCACCGGCAGCCACCATTCTACTGTCTACTTGCCGTCCGTCTAATAGCTGCATGGTGTCGTAAGCTTCGACAGTGGCGCGTAAGTTCTGCTGGTTCTGTTCGAATTCCAATCAAAATCTCATACCAGCAGTTCACTTGGTTATTCGTGTTTGCTATTTGTAAACTTGAGATCAGTCTGTCCTTTTCATTCCTTATAAAGCATGATAAGGACAGACTGTTCTGACAAGTTAACAGTCCATAAAATATGTGATAGTTTGGCTGTTTCTTAATTACTCAATCACGAAAAACGACTGAACGAATTCGAATTAATACACTAACTATAGCACGAACGAAGTCACTAAGGTAACTAGTTATTCATATTTATTTTTTGCTAGCTTTAGTTATAGTCAAAATCAGATTTTATGGAAAACCAATAGAACTTAAAATTTATATAGTATGAAATAAACTATGTATTATGTATGTCAAAGAACATTGGTCTGTGTCCATACATTGTTAGCCTAAAAACCAACAATCATGAAATATTATTTTCTAGGTTCGAAATTGCAAGTAAATGACTATAAAAACAAAGATTATTGACGGACACTTCTGAGAACTTAAATTATCAGAAAAACTTAATATTTTTTGAGGTTATGTTTAATATTAAATGAAACATAGGTCAACCTATGAACTTAGTATGAACTCAGTATGAATTGAATTAATATCTCTTATCTATTAGACAAGTCCGTCCGTCCGTCCGTCCGTGGTGCTGTTTCAGCGGCCAAACCGTAAGAGATAGATATAGAGAATGTTTAAGTTATAAGTTAAGAATAGTCTGATAAGACTACAAACCGGATGTGAGTAACGTAGCACTTCCGGTTTTCGAGAAATCACGTGATTTCTATTTCAAACGAAACTACACAAAATCTCCGAAGTTCTCAATTAATTAAATACATTTTTTTTTTGTGAACATTTGGTTCACTGGTTTGCTAGTTACAACTAATTCACTTTTATTCGATGCGATTTTAAAGAATAACTATTACCAAAAACTAGGTAAGGTAGGAATCATGAATAAAATAAAAACTGTAGTTTTGCTTCTTATTTTTTAACTATTTTTCAAATAATTGTATCATATGGTATTTTATTTGTATATCACATGTATATTGTAAAAATATGCAGCGTGAATGTGTATCAGCTGCTCTTGAATAATTTGGCAGTATGTATGATCCTCTCAGGATGTTGTGGCACAGATTCTCTAGCACTTGGTAATAAGGGGTCTACTATTTAGTAACATCGATGGCATATTAGATAGCCGAAATAGTTAAATTAAAGAAAAAACAATCGCAAATAAACACACAACAGGAAATCCTAAACGAGAATCCACGAATGCCACAGATTACTACGAATGTAAACTGCCTGCACCACAACCACAGAGTATCGAGTTTTATGCCGGCCCTTCACTTGACAACAATCTGTCATTGGTAGTTTTCCAATTACAGCACTACAGCGCATTATGCGGCATAATGCCTATCGTTGAATGTTTCAACTACAGCAACGCTTCGCACAATCGAGTACTCTCAAAAGTAATGTTTTCGTGTGGTGATACGATTGCACTCGTACCAACTCAGTGACAGAAAATTAACAAGTGTTTTTTCTTTAAGTTGGCATTGATCGAAATATTTTATTTATTAAATATCGTTACTAATATTATTTAATGTTGAAATTTTTTGAAAGTTTTCGTTACACTGTAGTTTTTTTTTTTAATAATCATAGTTAATTTAAACAGTGTTAAAAATAAATATAATGGATGAAGGTACAAACATTGACTTTTTTTCAACACTGAAATTAGCGCACTCTGCTGGTGCATTTGAAAACTAATTCACGTCCCAATTAAGCATCAGCATAATTCGGCATTGTGCGCCACTGAGTCGCGTTATGCTCTGTAATTGAAAAAACTACCCTTGTCATACTTAATATGGAATAAAAAGGACAGACTGATGTCAAGTTTTCAAAAAGCAAACACGAATAGCCAAGTGAAGTGCCGGCATTAGGAAGAAAGTGTTTTGTTTGCAGCGCTGCCATAAATTATACACATGAAATGGTAGTCTCAGATTATTTTTTAACTTTTTAATATAGCTTACTTAACTGGAAGTGTCCGTCACAATCTAAATACTGATAAATATCGCAAAAAATAAACTAAGAATTATCATAAATGCCAAATTGGTGTTGGTTCTTAGGCCAAATTTAACATTATCCTTTATCCACATCCGTTCAGTCGTTTTTGTGTGAGTAGGTAACGAAAACCAAACATAGATACTTAAAATATTTGTGCCAATAGATTGAAAAACAAAAATAAACAAAAAAGCTTAGTATTTGTTCTGTCAAATTAGTAAAATTACTATCAATTTTATAGTAATACGTATGTCAATAATTGGTATTTAATTTTTGATACTTTTCTTCAAAACAACAATTTCAAATAAGACATCTGTCCATACAAAAGTTATATCATAACCTGCAATATATTTTTATTACAGCAACACTTACCTTCCTAGTCTGTATGACCGAAGTGGCAACACCAAACGTAGACATTATCACGACCGCAGCGCAGTAGTAGTAATACGGTTCAGCCAACCACACCGCTATTGTGAACAGTTGGAACACATAGAACGGGTTGAACACTTCCAACAGGATTAGAGTGGCTATAGATTGCACCTGCACTTTGATCTCGTTTAGACCGTATATGTTTAGCCTGAAAAGAAAAAATATTTTATTTCCATATGATAATATTCTACATGAATATGATGATGATGATATCGTGAACGGGTGTTCATGAACCAGCCATCGCCAGACTCAACCCTTTTTTAGGGAACGTAGCGACCCTCCTCACATGACACCGCCGAAGAGATTTTTAAGAGAGCTACTACTAACTAACTACCCCATAACCACATATGGATACTAGGTTGCAAAATATAAAAAAACGAGCGCGCCTTACAGTAGTCGCGTATGATGTGTAACATTTGAAACCTCACCTTATATTAGTAAAATAAGAAATAAAACCTACTATAAAAGGAATGAGCCATTTGAACATTATATTCTAAAATCAAAACAAATAGCGCGCGCTTCCCAAACTTCCTGTTACACATGTCTGTCCCACTTCACGTAATGACTCCCACAAATTGCATGAAAGCGAGAGGAAAGATGTTACACATCAAAAATATATATACCAATATTGTTCGTCCACATTCTTGTTGGAAGTCGGTGAATTGGAAAGTGACTTCATGAGTTATCTCATATTGAAGTCATTTTTCAAATTGACGACTCTGTATATAATACAGGGAGATAAAAACAGCCCTTGCTGAGTTCCTTGCCGGTTCTTCTCAGTACAAGGTCTCCCGCCGTAGATTTGCGAACCGATGGCGTAGCTTTTCGACATTGACAAGTGCTTGTAGCAGCCTAGACTGAATAAACGATATTGAATTTTGAATTTTTTGAATTGAACAACTTCCAACAAGGACGAACAATATTGGTATATATATTTTTGAATATATATTGAAAGATTAGGACATGGGAGATATACTCCTATACTCTTAGCAAGACTTGATCCTTATCATTAAAAAGATACTCACATCCGCACTCTCTTCTCGCTAGATGGCGCTGTGGAGCCCATAGCTTGAAGTTGGGCACAGGTCACTCCGCACTCTATGCCCGCCAAGCGAGACCATTGAGCCCGAAACCCGTCCCATATGAACGACTGCTTCTTGTGACGGAAATATTTATACCGTAACACATCTAAGGAAAAACAGCATAATATAATCAATTTCAATATTAACATGAGAAGCAAAAACTTTCGTACCTAACGAACAAAATATGGTTAACTTTAGGAAGTTGTCTGTGGAGGTTTGTGACATATCCTACTATAATAAATGTGCAAGTTTGTATGATTGTTACTCAATCGCGCAAAAACAGCTTTACGGATTTGGATGAAATTTGGCCTACATATAGTCCACTGCTGGACATAGGCCTCCTCAAGGGATTTCTTTTCCTCATATGCAACAATCCTATAAATTATTATTGCCTGGATTAAGCCCCGAAAATGTACAGGTTCCTGTGGGATTCTCAAAAAACTACCACTAGTTCAATTTTAACTGGCCAGACTCAAATAGTTAATGTAACAGTCAAATTATGACTTCATTTTGACCATCTTCATATGGTGCAACCCATATTTTACCTAATCAGTACTCTGAATAAACAGTTAAAGTAAGTTGGTGCAACTCACGCAAAGTATATTGTATATTAATGTATATTAAATAAGCATTATGACTTACTGAGTGTAGTACCATCATCCAATCGTATTGGTGTGTGCAAAACATCTGGACTTTCGACAGGCACCTTTTCATCGGCAGCTTCACTTTGGAAACCTTCATTCAACAGTCCACTGAAAATTAATTTTTTAAACCATTGAGCAAAAGTTAATAACAAATGGTACTGATTAAGAAATAAAATTAAATTTATAAGAATAAATACTTTTACTAGTAAATTTTTCTTTAGACATAACGATCCAGCATTTAAATGCTTGAAAATAAAAAAATATTACTTTAATTGCTAGAAATAGCATTTTCTTATTTATTAATGAGTTGTATTTTTTTAGTTATGTTAAAGGTTATATTCGAAAGAAGAAATTTTTTCAAATGTATAATACCAGTAAAGGTATTATATTTGACAATGTGGGTGGGTACCTACAATACGAAAAGACGGTGCTTCCTTTCAGCCTTAGAAATACTAGAAAAAATTCGACACGGCCATCAGGGCATCAGGCATAAGCTACCGAGCTTAATGGTCAGTCCATCCGCCCAGAGGGTGCAGGTTCGAGTCCCGTCTGCTGCCTGGCCCGCATGATTTTTTTAGTTAAATATTCTTTAGATTTAAATATCTAGCAGTTAAATGCTTAAAAATATAACTAATAATTTATTGATTCTTTAATAAGTAAGTTTTATCCAGTTTGTCAAACACTGTCATCAAATTACAACCTACAGTATAGCATAAACAGACGAAAGTATTACATGCTATGAAATGGGAGTGACAGAGCTTATCAGGGGCTTCCAAAAAACTAATATTGTACCAAACATTAATAACCCATTTAACTCCTACATAGAAATAAGTACAATGCACATTTGACTTAAAAATATCAATAAAATACCTCAACATTATGGACACATACCTTGTATCTGCAATGTTTTTCTCTAATATCTTTTGTATGTAAAAATTTTTGCACTTTTTTTGATATGTTTCCTGCAAAAGAAAAAAACAATCCTTTAGTAAAAATAATAATTAACTAACCTGACAATTTGATATACATATATTATTCATGTCCATGTTCATACAAAAGACATATTATGATTTATTAATCAACAAACTTAATTACACAAATAAATGTATTGTTTGGATTAATACAATTATTCCAAATTTAATCCATTCAATATAATATTTAATTGTGAGATAGCTGAGGTAATAACATAGAGTTTGAGTTAATAAAAATTTTAAGAAAAACTTCTTACTATAACTAAAACTTGATCAGCCAGTTGGAAGCAACTCCTCATGCATGTCAGGTACAGGAACCAAGTAGGACACCAATGGAAGACGAGAAAAGGCAAGAAGGCAAAAAAAGAAGAAAAGGTATACACCAATGCCGTCCGCCATCGACTCTTCTTGTAACCATATACTACCTGAAAATAAAATATTTCTGTGAGAATAAATTAAGAAGCTTGGAAATGTCTTCTATTTCTGAAGGGGTACAATTTTTAAGGCAAATATTTTTATTCTTTTATAGGTAATTCTCAAGCCATCTATTGATCACTAATCAACCATTTATGTGATACATTAATATCGATAATTATTTGTTTAATTTTAATGAAAATCCTGTTATTAAACTTTTGATAAAATAATTTTATTATATTACAATGGGTACAAGAGTTAAGTGATTATTAGTTCAACTATCAAGAGATTTTATTAACACATCATATATCTAATCATTGAATAGGTATGTAATGCAAACATTGTCAATGCATGAAATATGTGTCAATGCAACATTTGTTTCATCATTATGTTCATTATATTGATAAGGAAACCACAGAATAGATCAGCGAATCACTCAAGGTTAAATAGTTCTCTTTGTTGAAATGACACATTGTTATATTACCTGTTCAAAATCTGTATCTAAAGCAAGTAGTTGAGCATTTAAATCCAGATATATGTGCGGATGGTTTTCACCCACATCCTCAATCAGTGGTGCGATATCATCATCTGATTCCATTGCAGATTTCAACTTTTGCACTTATTGATAATTATGATATTTGGTAAAATTACAATATTATTTTAATATTTGGTATAATCTCACTCAACCACAGTGTATGTATCTTTAATGTGTGTTCCTAATTTTCATTATAGTGTTTGTTTCTAGAAGTTTACTCTTTACTTTTGTTTGCAACAAATGGAATTGCAGTTTATTGGCTAAAAACTACACCAGTTTTGTACAGTCACCCGTTTATATCTTTGCTCCGTTCACAGCTGTTGTTAATGTAATCAGACTGTACAATAGTGTATTCATTATGTTCTTGGTAATGTAGGTAAAGAACAATTATTTTCTTTTACAGTGAACATTATTTTGTTACTGATAAATACACAGCACACACAACGACACAACACAATACATTGTCTTGTATTTTATTTTATCACGCACTTGCTCAACTATTTACAAAAATTAAAATATTAAATTTAATTACTCAATAGAACAAACAATAAAACAGAAACATGTCAATCATGTTTCTGTCAATGTCAAGTAATTTAATTTTTTTTTTGTTGAAGTTCTCCCGTTTTAGGGAAGGCAAAGGAAACAATGCCCATACAGCCTGGTCTTTAATTAAATTTATCTTCTTTTTATTTTTACATTAGAATGTCGGTGTGACGCATTCTAATGTTTCTTGGAGTGTTTGGCACGAAATGTATCGAGTTGGCTTTTTCGATAAGCTTCTGTGAGGTAGTCAACACTACAATAAAATTCTCACGTCCACTTGACCGGAATAGCGTATATTTTAATGATTCCGCTAATTCTTCAGTTACGCAGACAGTTGTTACACAAAACCACACCAATTTTATTTCACAATATCCACTATGAATGAATTTAAGAATAATTAAAATAAGACGCCAACCGCACTCGATGAAATCCCGCCAAAAAAGCTCTCAAGTAATTTAATAATTAATGGCATTTGACACAAAAATAATTTCAGGCTACCTGTATTCCGAATCTTCTATTCTCTCTACTCTTTTGAATGTAGGTTTATAGTAGTTCGTATTAAATTATATTTACCTTTGGTCAAGTGTAGAATCGACAAGTCGTGTAGCAAATCTTTAAAACAACATTATTTGTTTTGTTTTTACAGTACTTAATGAGTTTACATGTTACAAAAATATTTTTTTCTCTCGCCTAAAACAAAAATATTTAGACAAATTGATTTAATCAGCCTATCTGTTAATGAAGTTTTCTGAGGTTTTAACAACATACCGTATGAATGTCATCTGTAGTTATATGTTGTTCCATACTGACAGTCATCTTGCTGATAATTCGTTCTCCTGAAAAATAAAAACATTAAAACTTTTAAATATACAATACAATACAATACAACAACAACCATACAATAAATATTTAAATCAGGGCGCGCACGATTCGGACAGATTTATATTTTGTGGTGTAGCAATACCGCAGCAGCGCAGTCTTGCTCGCTTGTCACTAGGGATGCCCGATTTCTTGAATCGTTTAACATTTAACGTGTTGAATCGATTACTGATTTGAATCGTATGGCATTCAATTAATCTTAATGTGATTCTGGAAAAATGTTTTTTTAGAGTCTATGCTGATGGTAGCAGATGGCCTTGTTTGCTTTACCGGGTTATATTGGAAAATCGTATTAATAAAAAAATAAAAAAAAATGATGTAGTGTCGTGGGACACCAGGTAGGAACGAAGTTCCTTCGGCTAATGTAGGATCGACACAAATTGCAAACTCGCTTGTGTATGCAACTGTCGCGCCTGCGCACGTCTCATTTAACGGTTTTATTCCACGCACTTTTTTCCTCGGATTTTTTCTTACGGTTTTATTATCACATTTTTTTCAGTTCGGTCGCGCAGCAAAATCCCTATCCCCCTAAATTGCAAACTCGCTTGTGTATGCGACTGTCGCGCCTGCGCACGTCTCATTTAACGGTTTTATTCCACGCACTTTTTTCCACGGATTTTTTCTTATGGTTTTACTATCACATTTTTTTCAGTTCGGTTGCGCAGCAAAATCCCTATCCCCTCCAAGCCTGCCGTAAGGAACTTCGTTCCAAAAGGAACAATGCGAATGCAAAATGACTTATTTGAGGCACTTCGTACAAGGAAACCCTAGTACAATTTTTCATTAGTTTATTCAAAGCAATACAAAACAGTTATCTTCTATTATATTGGAATTTTTCAAGCAAAATTTTCTTTAGATTTGAACATCAAGAAGTTACATAATTAAAAAATAAAAATAATAACTATAATTGCTATTTTTTCTTTCAAATGTTTAATACTTGTAAAAGTATTCATTTAACATTGTGGGTTACCTACAATGCGAAGAGATGGCGTTGCCTTGCAGCTTAAGAAAGGCTAGAAAGTATTCAACACGGCCGTCAGGGCCGTGTTAGCATAATTGGTTAGTGCATTCGCCCGGATAGCGAAGGGTGCGGAAGGATTCGACTCCCGTCTGCTGCCTGGTCCGCGTGTAATTTTTTCAAGTAATATTTTCTCCAGTTATCTTTTTTTCTATGAAGGCAAAGTTTTATGTTTTCATTTAATTTTCTCATCTATTGTAGGAGGCCATGCAATGCAGCCATCTTGTTAAGTCAAATATTAACAATATTGATTCAACTTTTTAGTGCTTGGCAAAATAGTGAATTCGTAATTTTATTTTAAAATATAGTGTTCAAATTGCTTATTCCTTTTGTAGTAGGTTTTATTTCTTTTTTTACTAACATAAGGTGAGGTTTTAAATGTTACACATCATTCGCGACTACTGTAGGGCTCGCTCGTTAGTTTTAAACGATCTTCTGAACATACGATTATATCTAGGAACAAATTGCATATTATTGAATTTGCTTTAAATATTCATATATATTTATTGACCTTAATCGCATGAATCAATCAAAGGAGTGAAATCAAAATAAATTGGTATTCGAGTAAGCGAATCCAAGGTAGGAATCGAGTCTGATTTGAGTCAAGCCGTACTCGGCACATCACTACTGTCTGTCAATGTCAACTTGTCAAGTTGAAATGAAAACGTGAAATCGTATCTCGTGTGCCGCTTTATTTATTTATCGTAAATTTGGATTTTTTTTGACTCATTTGTTACAATAACTTATTGTAAGTACCTATTAAATTCTATCTTACTATATTTTTTTAAAACAATAAAAAGCTTCAATCAATTGCGCATCAATACGCTCAATAATATAACCCTTTTCAGTTTTCATGTTCATAAGTCTATTAAAGTGATTTAAACATACAATAAAATAGCATTCGGTTTTGGTATTCATGTTTTAAACATATTTTTTATTAAACTTCTGTTACAACGGTAGTTTATCAGACAATGAAGCTACATATATACATGAAGAATCATGAATAATTGAATAAACCAACATAAACTTCGATTTTAATATCAATTCCATTACTATATCATCATGACATTGAAAAGTTAGGTACTTAATTCCATTGTCCCCCCCCCACTAAAGATTTTAGGCAGAAATGCATGTTTTTTTTAATTAACCTAACCTAAAAATACATAATTTTTTTAGGATTCAAGGACTAGGGAAGTAAGAACCAGTCCTTCTGCCTTATTTCCGGCGCTGCGGGAATAGCAACCCCTCAGCCTTTGCGTGACAAAGTCACAAGCATGACTCCCCTTCACATCTTCCGCTTGTTGGCATGATGCTTGCGGCTTTGTCACAGCAGGCGGGGGCTGCTCTGTCAACTGCCACTAAGTTATTTCACCAACCTCCTAGCTCAGAAACAATAAAATATGTTTGTGCCTTTTGAAAGAACAACAAATAAAAATAAAGAATATTTATATAACAATGCTCATATTTTATATTATTTCAGAAAGTAGAAGAATCATGATCATTCCTGTGCGATGCTTCACTTGCGGCAAAGTGATAGGGAATAAGTGGGAGGCATACCTTGGCTTGTTGCAAGCAGAATACACAGAAGGGTAAAGATTTACTTATTATAATACTAACCAATTCAATAATTTGCAGAATCAAATAATAGCTTTAACACTTATTAATTACAACTACTTTTCTAATGGTTTAAAATGTGATTTTTAATACTTTTATACATACTACTGCCCATTGAAAAGTTGTTTTATTTATTGTGCGGTGTGCGTGAAAATATTTAAAATAAATAGGATAACAATTATTAACACATAATCATCAGAGAAAATATGAATAGATAAAATTCCATGCGGACCAGGCAGGAGACAGGTCTTGAACCCACACCCTTTGCTATCCGAGCTAATGCACTGACCATTAACTACTACTATTTACAAGTATTAAACACACAACAACAACAGAAGAAATAGCAATTATTATTATAATTGAGAAGCTGGTGAACAAAACAGTAAAATTACATAAATAAAATTTTACAGGAGCTGAGTAAAATTGAATGACATAACTCCAGTGAGCTTTTGGCATGGTTTTTAATTTATAAATTTAGTAATTTTAACACTGTTTTCGGCAGTTTTGATAGAGAATTATTTAAAATTCAAATTCAATGAGCCCGAAACCTCTGGACTGTAAAAAAAAGTAGTTTGACCAGATGCGTAATTACTGTTTTGATCGCCAGCTCCTCAATTATAGCGTAATCATCCGTTTATTTTATTCATTAATGATTTGGGTTTGGGTTGATTGATTTGGTAATTAGGTTGATTGTGTCTTTACTTAAAGGTAACTATAAAAGTTCAATAAAACCACAGCCAAGTATATTAACATAACTCATAACAACATCACTAAGCTAAAGTTAAAACAACTGCACATATAAAAATAAGAAGATTAAGACTCATATGAAAATGAATATGTGGTTGTAAATTACAAGGCCTAAGTTGCAAGCAATGTGTCTGTTATATAATGGTGCACTTTGTAAGTTTTAAATATTTATTTCTAGGCTTTGTTTTGACAGGAAGAAAATTAGGAATCTAAGTTGAGAAGGAAGGTTGTTAATATATAAAATATAGCTTATAATAATTAAATATATTTAACAGACTATAATAATGCCAAAATGGATATGAGGTGTGATTTTAAGGTCTACTTGCAGCAAATTTTACAAATCTCAATTTAAATAGAATAATGTCAAATTGACATTTGCTCATTTTTCTATGGGCTAGTTTTAGTTGAAACGAGATTTACTTAAGTGGACCTAAGAAAATTATACTATGATCTCAGGGCTAAGGTGTCACCAGTATTTTGCCTTTTTGTTACCTCTGCTCACAAATTATTTCTTTTAAGTAGGCTACTACTTTTATGTTTACTAGATTTGTATTTTTTATAATAAATGTTTTTTTTTAATGTGAACATGAACCTTAAGAATTTATTACAATAATAAAAATAGACACCATAGAACCTCTTTATTGCATTAGTTATTTTCCTAAGAATATTCATAAATTATTACTGTGTTATACAAATAAACACCACATCATTTTGTTTCAACCTCGCCCAAATCGGAGCAGCAATTTATGACGTCAAATAGTGTTATTTCAACTGTGAAACATGCAAAACCCTCATTACGGCAATACTAAACTGTCATAAACATGGTTATTACAATGTGACTCACAAATGATCTGCTTAAAACTCTTTGTAAATCATGTGTCATTAAAAATACGCGTGACAGTCACAATAGCTTTAAACCTTGCCGGTAATTAATTCTGAATCGCAACACTTATCTCTCACATGTAAAATATTAAGAGCCTTCGCTGCCTAAGGGCCTGCGCTGCGTTAAGCCGGAGCACGGAGCGGACGTACGTCGCGGTCAAATTCAACTTAATGTGAGACCCGCGATTCGCAGCGCGTCATAGTCATAAGATCCGAACCTAAATCAACCTTCACCGAACTGATAATATAATGAAACATGTTTTATCATGAATTTTGTATATTAGAAAATATATTAAAAATGGGTTGCCTAAAAAAATCCTGTACAGACTATTTTCAATCATTAAAAAAAAGTATTTTTAATATCCGAACATAAATCAACCTTCACCGAACTGATAATATAATGAAACATGTTTTATCATGAATTTTGTATATTAGAAAATATATTCAAAATGGGTTGCCTAAAAAATCCTGTACAGACTATTTTCAATCATTAAAAAAAAGTATTTTTAATTAAATGTTGCAACATCAAGATAATAAGAAGTTTTTGTATTGACTTTTGTTATTTTATGTTGATAATACTACCTAGCCAAAAGACGACGAACACAAGAGCATAAAAGATAGTCTCTAAGAAATGACACGAAACAGCACGCGGCGCAGACGTCCGCTCCGTGCCCCCGCTTAAAGCAGCAGAGGCCCTTACAACTTCTTTAAAATGTATCTTAATAGTTTCCTCTGGCCTTACATACTTTTTTGTATTTTAGTGCTAACTTCAACACAATACCGAAATTAAACAAATCATATACATAATTTTTATTCCCATTACATTTCAGCTGTTTTATAATTTGTGCACATATTACATAGTCTCAATTTAAAAACTTTCTCGTTATAACACAATGCAGCCAGCAAAGGATCCGAAATGCCGGGAAATGTATAAAGATACTAAAAAGCAGAGTTGAAACCTGTTGAAAAATACGTGTTTAATTTACATAGTCTCAAGTTTTCAAATAAAATGTAGTCAATACATTTGAAAAATTAGAATTAACACCTTCACTAGATCTGTCTTAAACCCTTCAGCAATGGTTAAATTTTTTGTTCTTTTGTTGCAGTGACGCATTGGATGCGCTCGGCTTGAAGAGATATTGCTGCAGAAGAATGCTGTTGGGACACGTGGACCTCATAGAAAAACTACTTAACTACGCGCCTTTGGAGAAATAAAACATCGTATAATAAGCACATTATGTTAAATAGAATAATTCTAATATAAGTAAGTTAAGGCAAACCTGTGTTTTCTTTTATATTCTGACATGAGTGAGAAACATACCGCTATACAATAAATAAACATAACTTAGGAATCATTAACTCTACCGATGTGAAGTCAATTGATTTTGCTAATAACTTACGACTTGTAGTAATGATCGATGACTTCAAGAATGGGGTCAATCTCCTACGCAACCCAAACGGCGCGTAAGTTAGATGCGACTACCCTCAGGAGCGTATTTTAAATCTAGCGCCCAGGACCACTTACGATTTTAAATCACGTAATATCTACAGATTTCTCTCTTCAAAATGACGCAAGTCTTTATTATGCGTAGGCATATAGCATCCTAGGTCTTGGCGGCGCAGGTGGTTAGCGCGTTCGGCTGCGAATGTTTGAAGTTAAGCAACTTTCTCAGTGGTCGGTCATTGGATGGGTGAACAAAAATCCGGCTGCATTTGCAGTCGTTAGCACCCGCCAATCCGCACTGGGCTCGCGTGGTAGGTCATGCCTCAATCTCCCTATTCCATCCATAGGGAAGGCCTCTGCCCCAGCAGTGGGGACTTTATAGGCTGATGATGATATAGCCACGAAATTTGTAATACTATATCACAAATTTTGCTAAGTCGGTGGTTATTTCTCTCTAGCTAGGTTACTTAAGCTAGGCCAACTAATAACTTATTATCCTCGTCCTTTCCGTCATCAACTTGATAACTTTACTTTTGTGACAACTACTTGTAAATTTATATATCTTCAATAACCAGCGGCGAATGTTTTAATGTTTGTCTGCATTAAAAAACTCAAACTGTCTATACCAAATTTCATCTAAATCGGGTCAGTGGTTTAAGCGCGAGGACACAGGTAACGGACCGATGATATACTTTGGCATTTCTAACATTAATACGGATTAAAGTACGAGTATCGTGAACTAAATTCAAGACATGCCCTTTTGCAAATATTTGTTGCCAAGATTTACTGTTCCATCTTACAATCAGTTTCCCAGTGAAACCCCTTTCATTTTCAGTGCAAGGCCTTGACGAGGCTATCTTCTCACCCAGCTTCACTTCAGATTTGTGGTACGTGCATACATTTTTGAAGTGAAAACTTCTTTAGCGGCGTTGTACACTTTTTTTGTAATGGGTAAAAAATGTTAAACTCGCGTCAACAATAAAATTGGATTTAAATTAGGCTGATCGCAGATTAGAGTCACGACAGTCTCAAGACAGACGAATGCTTAACAAAAATTATGAAGATGCGCACATTCGAAACGAGACGTCTCATAGACAAAAAAGTCTTATGTACACAAGAACTGTAAAGCGACATGTCTGACTAACGACTGTCCGCTTCCCTTTGTAATGTATGCGAGCGCGCACACCAACGACAAAATTGTCTAGCGATTAGGGATGATAATCGATACTGAAAGAAAGTATAATACATACGATAAAATAAGTAATATGTGGGGCCATAAATTTTGACAAATTATCAAAGATAGATTGATACATTCATTCGAAATTACTGGTAAAACTTTCTGGGCTGGTGCCTTAATTTCTATGTAATAAATAATCGATGAAATCTAATCTGATACTGATGAATATGGTGTGTGTCGCATCGAAGACAAAACAGTTTCGTCTTGGTGTGCGCCTTGTGGTAGACACAACTGTTTCTTTTTAATTGTAAAGCTGTCTCGTCTATGTAAGACAAGATTGTCTAACAACTGTCGTGACTCTAATCTGCGCTCAGCCTTAAGTTTGACATTCACATGCGCTGTCGTTGGCAAAATGGACGAACTAAATGAAAATTACCACCAAAATGTACTCTGTTTTGTGTGAATCAATAAATTTCATTTTATGCATTTGGAAAGGTTGTTGACTTTAAATATATGGGACGAAACATAGTAATATTTTATTTAATCGTATTATAATAATAAGTCTCTATCTAGGACGTCCAGGTGGCAGCTTTATTGCGAGGAAAATGCATTTTTTTTACCATAGATGTTGCTAGGTGCGCTTAAATGTGATTCATGTAAATTGATTTTTCTGAGAAATGAAACTTTTTAATGTAATATAAATTGTCATGTTTGTGTTACGATAGCGCAATAAATAAATATTGCATTCTACCACATAAATGATAGTACTTTTATACTGATAATTAAAGCAATTCATGCAAAATTATTCCCTAACCATTCCAAAATATCAAAAATGCACAACGTTAATATTCAAGTTTTCACTTCTGCCGGCACTCCCGGAGTGTAAACCGTCGTTATTTTTTTTTATAATAGGCACAACTCTGCCGTGCTCTAGCTAAAACGCGGCTAAATGACAAAACCAAATTTTGAGATATGGCCACGGGATATGGCCCAAAAACGGCGCGTAAACTGTAAACTATTGCTATTTTATAACCATTCATGACATGACGGATTTTTAGAATTAAACTATAAAAGATACGAATACCTGTTAAAGACAGATCGATTGAGAATTAAAAAGTATATAAGATGCAATTTAACAGTCAGAAATCGCCCACATGTCATTTAGCCGCACTTTAGCTTGAGGACCGCAGAACTAATTATATTATACCACCCCTCTTGATGTTAAGTGGAGTTCAGTCGTGAAGATAGATGATGCGGCAGAAGGTGTTGGTTCAGTCATCCTTACCTAGCCGGGCTGAACTAAATCCCCTACCCCGCGGAGCCCGGAACCTCACTCACCAGCAGCAAATTTAATCTTCTGTAAGGTGGAGGTTGCTTCCCCAGAAGGGCGCTCCAATTAGAGCGGAAAATCTACTGTGCCCTACCTGTTAAAATATACTTTCAGATACTCATTAAATCCATACATTTCATCATCTCAGCCGTACGACGCCCACTGCTGAGTATTGGCATACATTTACTCTTAAAGTCGGACTCCACAGGCGTTGGCTGCTATTAACAGTATAAGGATTTATGTTCTATCTTTTACGACATAAAAAAAATGACTTGAAGAGCCTTTTTAGTTAGAAGTCGGTTAAAAATGTACGCACATAACATTCTAAACTGTGCACCAAATTCAAAAAGTCTTTCTTTGTTATATTCTTTTTATCAGGAGAAGGTTCTTATAAAATACATACATATTTATTTTGAAAACTTCACCAGAGACCACCAGAAAGTATGGAAATCGGGATATGATGTTATTGTATTAAAATATCAATTTCTCATTAAATAATGCACTGGTGCTGGTGCAGTCAGGCGGGTCGAAAGCTTTATTGCGCGAATATCTGTACAGATTCTTTACCGAGAACCAGTTTTTGACCGGTTTGGCTTCGGTGCGTAAAGTTTCATTTTGTTTGTTACGGTTTTGTTTTGCGCGAGTGACGGGACGGGCGAGTCGACTAGTTTGGTAGCACTCGGTACAGAGAGCTGTGTATCCGATGGATACCATCGGATCGGATAGTCGATAGTATCCACTCAATAATGAATCTGTACCCTTACCACGAACCAATATCGAATTCCTAACGTTCGCGAGTACGAAATGTCATTGTCAAATGTGTACTGATTTTTAGTTCTCCTTACGTCCGTTATGGCGCTGTTGTTCAAGTTTCCATACAAAATTTGACAATGACATTTTGGACTCGCAAACTATACGAATTCGATAATGGTTCGTGCTAAGGGTACTGGTACCGAAACGACTCAGTGAGGAAGCTCCCATTTGATAACATGCACTCGTAAATAATCTGTACAGGCTCGGTACAGAAACGAAAACTTAACGAGCCCGCACCGACCGACGACCCGGTGAAAAAGGCGTCTTAGATAGATATATTGTGCAACTGTTTAAACCTTCACCGTTTTGGTATTCAAGAAAACCAAATTCGTCAAACGCTCCTTGCATGTTTTGTTTCTGTTGGTTAATTTCGTAAGCAGTAGCTTATTAGGTTACGTCCACTAAACCGGTCATTTTGTCTGAAGCAATACTGAATTACTGCCTTTTGTCTTTAGCTGTTGTTACGTCGATGGATGCACCAAGGTTATCGTTGCCATCAATATTGCTCGTTTGCGGTTGCCTACGTTCTTCTTTAGGGCGGTGTCGATACGCCAAGGAAAATGAGGAGATTGATGGCGCAGTGGATATAGCGGATTCGGTCTGCGATCGTGGCAGTTAGGTATCTTTCGCAAGAGCCGGTTATAGGATGAGGCGACCAAAATTTACCATATCGAACTTCTCCGAGCTTCCGAAAGCAGTTAAGTTGAATTCGCTGTCTATTTTGCTCTCAACATTTCGCACTAGGATCGCTTAGTGGAATCTTATCTCAAATCAAATCTAACGAGTTTATTGGTTATAACAACAGAGAGATCACAGTGGTCAATTCATAGGTATACAAATTTATTATAACCAAAATGGTCGCTACTCAATAAACACTGCAACATGCAACAGGTCACAGCACTGATCTTCCGTAACGCTAGTTTGCGTCAGTGACACTGTACACTAGACTTATATTTTTTTTCTTAATAGACAATACATACATTATTAATAATTTTACCAGAATAAAATCCACACCGTCCAGGTTTCAGACAGTACTTGAACCTGCAACTTCAGCTATTTATATCTCTATTCCATCCATAGGCAAGGCCTGTACCCCAGCAGTGGGGATATTATAATATGTTGATGATGATTATAAAAGTTAAGGTTTTGGTTGGTGCTAGGGGTACTGTACCCTTAGCACGAATCAATCAGTCCCTCCTTTTCATTATATATAGAGTATGACAAGTATACACTGATGTTGATTCTGGCATGATTCTCTTAAGCTAAACTTAAATTTGACAACAGTGCATCTTTATCATTCCCTATACAGAATGAAAAGGACAGACTGATGTTAAATTTAGTTTTAAGTTTAGAGAATCATGCTGCCGTCCTCGAGATAAAACGCGGCTAAATGTCAAAACCAACTTTTGAGATATGGTCAAAAAACAGCGCGTAAATTTTAAATTATTGCATTTTTGTAACCATTCATCACGTCACGGTTTTTTAGACCTAAACTATAAAATATACGTTTTTT